ACTGCTGCAGCCTGGATAGTCTTTGTTGCTGTGAGGACTTAGACAATAGGCTGGTTGTAGAGGTAAAAACCCTCTTACTGTGACTCAGGGGAAGGAGATACTTATTACCTGGGTCCTAATTCTCAAGTGTATTCAAAAGAAAGGAGCTATGAAATGTCTGAAGTGAACAAAGCCTTGGAATAAACCATCCTGCAGTGTTCAAACACCAAAAGCACAAGGAATAAGCGTGAACATAAGATGTAGGATCTGGCTGTCCATTAAGAAAAGAGAAGAGCGGAGGTCTGGAAGTTACCATAAGCTTAGATGTAGTAAAATAATACAGATTTGAAGAGGGAAGTCTCACAACATTCAGAAGTTAAACTAGCTATGGATGATAAGTAGAACAATTGGGGGAGTTATTTTGGTTTTTATAGCTTTTTCATATGTGTCTCATGGAAACATTGATTTAAATCCTTTTGGATATTGGTGCAATCATGCAGATGAAAAAAATCATGAACTGTAAACAAAGGACTGCAAAAAATGAATGTGCTATGTTACAGAAGGACATTCAAGAGCGCATAATTCAGTCACAGTCTAATACAAAGAGTAAATTGGGATACCAGAGAATTTTGCTGACTCTGCTAAATAGGGAAATTTTGAATGCACCCACAGGAATAATACAAAAAAAGGACCTAGATAGTCTAGAAAGCAACAAAATACTGAGATTTAATGTGGAAAAACTGTAAGTAAATCTGTCTAGGGAAAACTAATCCAAAACACAGATGTTCTACTGGAGAGAGAAATCTTGAAAGCAGTCATGTTAAAGCAGACCAGGAATGACAACAGAGTTAATGCTAAGTCCCCAGCGCAACAGGCAGCAAAAATCAGGCTGGGGAGTTTGCATGTGTGCGCTGACAGCCCACTGCTGGCTCGCTTGCTCCCGTGGAGCTGCTGTAATCTCTTGCCTGTGAAATGCTAATTCTAGCGGTGCGATCAGCAGAGAGATAACACAGAGTGGAGGCAACTCTGAGAAGTGAAACAGAATTATGACAAGCGTGGAGGAAACAACTCATTTAACACATACCACCACTTGGGTAAGGTGTAAGATCAGAGATAAGCCCATTAACACTGAAACTGAAGTATTGCATGTTCCATCGCATAGCACACTTGAAAACTAAACAAATACCTAGAAACCTAGCAGCAGATTGTCTGTGTTGCAAAGGTCAGGTGTTCCAAAAGGCTGTCCTTTACCATTCTTTGTGAAAGTTCCTCTTAAAAACCTGCCCAGGACTGACAGACAAAACATGCAAAGACAAGAGCAGAAAAGGGTCTTCCTGTGTGACTTTCTCAAGAAAGTCTTTCTTCTTAAGAAAAAGATACCATGTTAAAGGTAATTAATGAAATGTCTAGGTAAACACTCTCAGAAATGCTATTCTATACTCAGAAGAGGGAATGTTATTCTCTGCTGGGCGGAAAGCCTGCTGAAGGCAGCCAAAGCTGGCAGTTCGTGGTGGTGATGAGGCTGGTGCTTTCACAGCATCACAGAACGGCTGAGGTTGGAAGGGAGCTCCAGAGATCTCCTAGTCCAAGCCTCCTGCTCAGGAAGGATCACCTAGAGCATTTCCTGCTTTCCTACCAGAAGAATCACGGGTGTGTGTGGCCTGAGAACAGCCAGGGCACGAACACAGCACAGGCACGGTTTGCTGCCCTGCAGGTGAGGTTTGCTGCCCTGCAGTCTCCCGTGGGTGCCGTCAGGCTGGCTGGCAGCGTGCTGCTCCCCGGCTGCCGGAGTGCCTGGCATGGGCAGCACAGCCAGCCCCGCTGCCAGCACCAGCTCTGATTTCCAGAGATGGCTAACATCCAGCCTGTTGGAGGCACAGGGCAATGACAGCCTCCTGGGAGCATTTCTTCCCACGTTTCCTCCAGGAGGCCGCCTGAGGTGTGGCAGGGGGCACGGGGAGGGATGCGGAGTGATGCCCAAGGGGTGCCCGGGGTGCCCGCCCCCAGGCTCCCCCAGAGCCGCTTTCCTGGGGCTGCTGAAGACCCACATTGCCATCTAGTGCCAGAGGAACACCAGCACAGCCGGCAGGCTCCACGGGCGTGTGTCCCCGGAGCCTCAGGACGGGGCAGTAAATCCTGTGCCGCTCTGCTGGAACCCAGCGACCCGAGGGCAACCCTGCGGTCGGGACTGCTCTGCCCCACGGGCGCTGAAAGGCTGAAGAACCATGCAAAAAAGCTATGTTTAAGCTCAAAACGCCATAGCTCCTGATGACCTCATGCTAAAAAAAGATGCAGCTAAAATCAGGTTCAGTAGTGATTAAAGTATCTGATATTTAATTACCTCTATAGAGGTTTATGTGCTGATAAACCTCCTGCCCCCCTGACCTGCAGCCTGGGTGCTGAGCAGGGCTGGGTGCGCAGGGCTCACGTCAGGCACTGAACTGTGACAGTTTCGGTGAGAATCGGGGTGTTCGCCTTGTGGTTCTGGCCAGGCCCCAGCTGGAGCACCTCAGCTCCACCAGCTGCGGTTTGCCTGCAGGGAGAGGGCGAGGGAGGGTGCGAGGCTGAGCAGGATGGGTCCTGCCCGTGGGCCCGGCCGCACGCTGCTCCTGTGAGGTCTGGAGCAGTTGTTCCCTTCCACCCAGACGCCCAGAGCTGATCACGTTATGGTCTACCTCCAAAAGAATAGATTGTAATTATAGTACTTTCTGCGGCATCTTTTCATGCCAAGCACTTGCATATACACAAAGGCGGGCATGTACTAAATATTTTTCATGGGAATTCCTGCCATTAGAGATTGAACTGTTAAGTGTTGCTATTGTGTGCTACAAAAATGCCTAGAAGCCTCAGGTGAGATGAGGGCTTCCCTGTTCAATGGGGTTTACACACTTAATAAAACTCAATCTCGCCTGTGTGGAGCTGGCAGCCTGATTGGGATGGGAGAGAGGCGTGAGCAAGCACAGTGATCCACTCCACACCATAAAGCAGGTCAGTAGGTGACCCAGGTCTCCCAGGTTTCAACTTGCCAGGCGGTCTTTCAATTAAATGTTGCATGCAGTGGAGTTTGTTTATTTTTCAGACTGTGGTCATGCCCTCGTAACAAAGGGCTCCCGGGAAAACCAGCCACTTCATGGTTTCATGGGCTCATTGAGAGAAGAGAGATCCTGCTCGCTTGCCTTCCCTTCTTGTGCTGTAAGTGGGAACTTGGAGCACCACTTGGCAAAGATGCAGAGAGCTGGCAAGCTCGGCTGGAATATTCATTAGTGGATCCTGAAAACTATACCAAGCAACTTGGTGGCACAGTGCAGTTATTAAACTCCCACAGGGAAGTGGCAATCTGTGACCAGAGAGCTCATGGCTTTCCAGCCCCGTAGGTACAACAGTGAGCTTTGTTACCACAAAGGTGAGGTGCGCGGCAAGGTCAGCTGCCCCCTGCCACAGGAGGGGTGGGTGGGAGGGGTAAAGCCTGAAGGCAAGTGAAAGCCTCATGCATCGTGATCTTCTCCTGAGGGATCACATAAAGAAAAAGGTGTTCAGAAACACCAGCTGATGGCAATCAGCTCCTCAGCTCATCCAAAAATCAGGCTCATCAGGCAACAGGAAGCAAACACGTACTGCTTTGGGAGCTGGAAGTTACACAGGTTCAGAGGGCTGCAGCATTTAAGGGGCACCCATAGCCCCTTAAATTGCTGCTGCAAGACAACATCCACTGGGTGACACCCAGGCCTTGTAAACAGAACACCTCTTTACTGAGACGAGGAAAATTTTAGCACGAAACAATTACTATAGGATCTTTTTTTCCCCCCAATACCAATATATCTGTGAAACCTATTTATTTCAGGCTCTCTGTGTCAGATCTAATAGCTGCATTTTTCTCTCAAAAAGAGGTAAATTTTCTTTTAAAACTGTTAGTTTTTCATGACATCCAGTCTCAGTTTCTGTACAAGGTTTTAAACTCCTGCTCTCTGGTGGAGATCAAGGACCAGCTTCCTCCTCAGTGTAATTCTGCCTAAGCCCATGCATTTACACTGGGGATGAATTTTGTCCGTAAGGTTTGTGATTCTTAGGCAGAGGCTTATTGACAAGCACTGTGCTGAAGACATTTACATTCAGCAAGGCTCGTAAGCCAGTGAACATCTGTTCTCTCGTTAGCAGCCTCCTCAGCATTTGCCCTGTAGGCAATAATCTACAGGACAAGTTTCCCAGCACCTAAACTACTGTAGGATAATTCTTTAACTAAATGGAAAGCAAAGCCCAAGGCCCTGGGAATTTGCTTTTGTACAATAATCTTTTGTGTGCATACAGTGGAAACCAGAGGATTATGGAGTCAAATCATGAGAATTCAGGTCAAGTGAGATTGGGGGGGGAGAATATGACAGAAGAAGCAGTGGGAAGGTAATGATCCCAGGGGAAGTAACGTGACGCTTGCAGATAAGCCTGTTCTGCTGTCATGGTTTAATTTTACACATCAGTATTAAAATTTCTGAGCGTTTCCCGAACATCAACTCTCTTTTTACTGCATGAGGTTCTTCTGTAGTTTTCTTTTCTTTTTTTTTTTTTTTTTTCTCCCCTTTAGCAGTTGCATTATTTTGGACTCTCTTGTTTTCTTTTTCTATGCCTCCATTTTCTAGCTCTTTTACTATTTTTCTGCAATCTGAGTGTTTGTGTTTAAATCTCTTTCCTCTATTCCTCCCCCCGTTATTTTTCTCATTCCTACACACTTAGCCTGGATCAAGGATTTTCAAGATCCTCTAGATATACAAATCAATTCATTTATTTCCCCTAGACATTTGCTTAATGGAAGGAAGGAAATGTTATTAGAGAAAAGCACTATGAAAAATGTGATGCTTCTTTTTCTTTCTGGCAAGGGATTGATCTGGATATCCAGACTGACACCCAGAAACTGTATTCAAATGACTGCCTGATCTTGGTACAATGCAGACAGGCCCAGCTGAATCCCATCAACTATTTAACATGAAATCAGCTGGTGTAAAATGTTGAAGTGATGGGAGGGTGTGCTGTTGGGCAGTGACTGCTGGGAAAATAGGGGAACAGAAGGTGTTAAATGAGACATAGATGCAAGCAGAGAAAACAACACCTAGGAAAATTTAGTTTTCTGCAAAACTGGGCAGCTGTACAGCTCAACTGGAAATGAGGATTTTCGTTACCTTTCTAAGAATCTAGGTAATGTGGCAGAAAGGTTATTTTCTACCTGTGACACAACGTCCTGTCTCAATTACCATGTATGAGACCTGGAACAAAATATCTTCTCTACTGTCTGTGTGAGATCTAACAGGCTAAACAAGATAGCAGTAAGCTACTGCACAAAGCAGCTCTACTTTCCAATCTGCAAGTGGTGGTGGGGAGCATGAGTCTATAGGTAGTTGGACCATGAAAGCACTGGAGGCTGGTAAATGTGTGTGTGTGTGTATATACATATGAATATATTTCCTGGTTATACCATTTTAACACTTCCAGGAAAAGAGTATATGAGTCTAAATGGATGGGAAATCTTCATTATACAAAAGTCACACATGGCACTACATTATGAATTTATGCTACTTGATGTACCACCATTTACTCATTGTCATGCTATTTGCTAGACGAGCTATGTCCCGCCTAAGTTAGCTCTACACGCAGGGAGTGTCACTTAATAAGCAGCAGCAGCAGCAAACACTTGGCTTCCTAGTTATCCTCTGAAAAAATAATATATATATGTATATATATAAACTTAGTCTGTCATATGCAAAAGTAGAAAATCCTTTGTTAGTGCTTGTTTGGGTAGATTTACAGTCTATAAAATAATGTATAGTATTGCCCTAAAGAATGACATAATCTTGATCGTTGCAGTCATATATGTCAGAAAAGTCCAGAACTTTTTTTTCCTACTTGTCCAAGGACTGTTAATTCAGTTCTCTTCTGTGTGTGTTATGAAAGTCCCAAGTCCTTTGTCTATATGCGTTTTTTCCTAATACCTTTGAGAGATTCTGCATTCTTACTCTTTTTCCTTTGCATCCCATCTTTAGTTGGTTAGTTCACATGTTCCAGGTGAGCATGATGGGCCAGGAAGGGAGCATGGAGGGATCATGTAAGTCTTTGTAGGGAGTAACCTAGAGTTTGGATGTCACATTTTAAAAAGTACAGTAGAGAATACAGATGTTATGGATCGTATTAGCTTGGTCTGCAGGGATCTACATCCTGTATTGGATGAAATAGTTTGACCTCTTCTATTGAAATGCTAATGTCTGACCGTTTCCTCCAGCAAAATGAGTCTCATTATTTCTCATTGTAGCCTACGTTTACCCTTCCTCTGGTCTCCATCACCCTGACCCCGGAGTTTCTGCTTTTCAAATATGTGCTTAAAATTTGTCTGCTATGTGATCGTTTTATGAGGTGATATCATGAAGTATAAGTATGTGTTCCAGCTGTGCTAGTGACCCTGCCTATAAACCAAGGAGGTTGGCTTAGTATACTCTTGCCCTCCTGCTTAATGTGACTTAAGACAAGATGCAGTGATCCAAAGTGCAAAAGTGAAAGAGAGTGAAAATCCAGATTAGACCCTGGAAAAAGGAAACTCTAAGTGAAACCGACTTCTTATCTCTTTGTGTCTTCATGTTGACACTACATTAGGAAGGCTGACATCAGATATCCCTAAAGGCCCAAATTCAATTTTCAATCAAATGTGAAAGACTGGCTTGTAAAGGCCAAGAATGAATTGGTTCTGCCAGAAGAAAAATTAGCACAGAAACAAGCTTATTTCCAGAGCAACTACTAAAACAACTCTGTGACGACTTAATAGGGATTGTCCTTGTCTGATATTTTTTTTAACCTAGTGGAAGTCCAGGGTTTGAAATGATCAGTCTCTACAAGGAACACATCCATCTCCAGACTTGCTGCATGCAGTAATTTGTAGTCAAGATTACTTGATTACAACACAACAAGTATTTACAAAAGCTATACAGACGTGTCAGTCCTACTTGCTTCCATTTTCCTCTGTAAGAAACTGCAAATATTTTGTTCTGTGTAGCTGTCATGCTATTTCTTACCACCGAGTTCTCATATTGCTATGGTTCTAGGCCATTTGCTGTTACAGGAGAGATTTAGGTCTGTGGTTTTCCAGCCTTTTATGATTTGTGGAGCCCTAAAAATGTTTCCAGCAGTAATGCGGGCTCCTTTAGGAATTTCACATATGTAAAATGATGTTTGGCATACATGAACTTGCTTTTTCTCCATCTCTTCACGCAGATTCTTTAGTTTTCCATGGGCTTGCCAGGCTCTGCAGGTCATGAGCTGGAAACCAATGACTTAGGTGAGCTCTTAAACTACTTCTCCTCTATGCATACACTGGTGCAACAGATGAGTGCCATAAAATGAGTAACATCAAGACTAATGTTTGGGGGTTATTGTGACTTTCAGTGCTTTACAGTTTCAAACTTGAATACGGGGTGTTTAAGTGATTAGTGTTTGCATAAACAAAAAAATACGTGGCGATGGTGCACCAAAATCAATGTTGTCCTACTGCCTCAATGGCTTTGGATGTGGAGCTGTGGCTATTCCAGCTGCCCCATAAATTGTAACAAGTTGCCTCCAAAGCTTTAGCTATCAAGTGATACATGTTCTTTGTTTTTTTTTAAGCCTAGCCCAAATCAAACAATCTACTATATGATTACTTTAGATGGAACTCAGGCTTAGGAGGGAATGTGGGATAAAGACCACGCATAAATCAAATTTGTCTCTGCACTACTTATGCACCATATTCTTCTGTCACAGGAGAACTGGCACATTTTTAGAACCTACCATCACCACTCTAATGGCTGATAGCTATTAGTAGGAAACACCATCCTCAATGTAGTAAGCTCAGCCTTTCTATCCCCTGTATTTATACAGCAGAGGGGTACTGCATCTTCTCCTGCTCATCACTTTGCTGTCAGTGAGCTGGGGGGGAACAACATCTGTCCACTTAGAAGTATGGAAAGACTGCTATAATCATTTCCATTGCTGTAGTCCCTGCATGCTCTAAGCATTGACCACATTTCTCCCGTATGAGTTTTAGTGCATGTGTGAAACGTGAAGAGGGTCTAAAGATCACATGCTAAAGATCACCCAAGGTGATCTCCTGACAACAGGAGATTGTTGTCAGGATTGTTTGTCTCCTGACAAAAGTGGGTATCAGGGATAGGCAGATGGAACAGTACAAGACAACAATAAGATAAGATAAAGCTGGTGTATTAGTCCATGGTCTTGGAACACCATCTGGACCATCTGGTGATATGTGCTTCTGCAGGTACCACAGATAAAAAATAATAATAATAATAATAAAATAATAATAATAAAAAAAAAAAGAACATTTTGAAGGATGGCGACTTCCTGTAGCTGTCCCACAGCACATATGGTAGTAGTCTGAAAATGTAACCAAGAAGCAATGCAGACTGGCAATGTTGCCAACCAGAGTTGAACTCCTAAAAGTAAATTTAAGATGATAGGCTGGATGGACATAGGTCACAGTCAGTCTTGGAAATGAATCAAACAGCTTTTTCCTTGCTGCAACAGAGAATGCTGAATCAAAGGAGGGAGGTAAATAGAAAGTGACTTGGTCTAAGCAGGGCTCTGGCTAGGAAAAACAATCAAGTGAGACATCAAATGATTAGAAACACAGGCAAGGATAATGCAGCAGTGGTGATGCAAAAGTGACAAGAACACAGCTAAGAGCTCTAGATGTATGTATGGAGAGACAAGGTTATGTATCTGGTCTGTTATACTGGAATAAACTATAAATGTGGACATTTTTTCTGAACAGAAGGGTCCAGAACAAGGTCCAAGTTGAAGATGACATCTGACTCACATTTCTTCTTACTCTCCTTTACTTGGCATCTGTTGTAAACCCACCGTTCCCTAGCCTGAGACTGATCTCAAGGTCATTGTTTTGATTCTACTCTTATCCCTCCTGCCAAGAATTTTATAGAGCTTGGTGTTCTTTATAATGAAAGTATACTGCCCATCAGCTGATACTTCCAGATTTTCAATTTTCTTTTTGGCCTCCTAAGGCTTTAATATGAAACCTTCCATCTCACTGTCCATCAGAACCACTGCTCTTGAATTATGGCCAATTTCCTCTTAATATCCACAGCAGGGGTTTTTAATAAATCAAAACAACAAAAAAATGCTGGCTTATTCCCATCCTCCAGTGCTGATGGATTTAACTCCATGCCAATAATAAACCAGACAAGACGTTACAGAACCTTTTGTTTCTATACAGGCAGTAGAAGATACCTTTCCCTTCCTCAGGAGTCAACTCTGTGTAAAACAGACATGTAACCCTGTGCCTCCAAAGATGATGCAAAATAATGCTTATCCAGCAAATGGCATTAAGCAACGAAAAAGGTGAGATGTTGCATTAGGTCCAATAGGTCTCTGTTCTCTCAGCCAGTGAAACTTCTCTGTTTTAATTACATTTACAGACGTCCTACTTGGGGCTGACTTTCCCTGCAGACCTGTAGAAAACCTGATGACACTCCTGACCGTCTTTTCTTCCAATTTTCTGTGTCATTTTAGTTCTTGTGTTTAGGTTTTTGCCCTTGTTCATAACCTGGTTGAAGCTACATGCAACTACATCTGTAACTTCTTCCCTCCCTAAGGTCTCTTTCATTCAAAGGCTGAGATGGATGTATTTCTCCACTCAGCCACTATTAAAGCTCTTTTCCAAGGGATGCATCCTATCTGAACTTGGCAAGGAATGTGCATGACATTAATTGTAGGACCAGTCAGCACTATTGCTGACTTCCTCGAGAGAAGCTCACAAGTGAACAGCTGAGACATTTCACTCTGAACAGTGGTGTCTTTGGCCCCAGCTGGAGGGGGCGTATCACTCACAAGCTACAGTGAAATGTATGGTGTGGACAGTTATGGCCTTTGTGTGGATCACTTCTATATTTTTACTTTCCAGTGGTGTTAATTTGGCACCCCCTGGAGGAAATATGTTTGAGAACACTTACAGAAAGCAAATATTTTAAAAAATCACCTTTGATTAAATTGATTGTTTAAACAGTAAGTTTTCCAGTTATCTATGGAGAGGGAGTCTTCGCAGAAATGTTAATGCAATTTTTCTGTAAGCAGTTTTTTATCCTGAGGTGATACGTGCAACTTTTTTTCTTCTGTAGACTAAACATGTCAATCTAAGACTGTGACTGTGGAAGTGTTGGAGAATTTCTCTAACATAATGAAGTAAACATTCGAAAAAAAAAAAAAAAAAGGAATGGCACCTATGACAAGAAAAAGCTTGAATCTGGCACAAGATTCATAAGAATCAGTATACATACTTATTCTCATGGCTAATATGGCCTTATTCCAGGTTCAATGGGGGAAAAAACCTTACTATAGGCTGTGTCTGGATCTACAAACCAAACCAGTATCTTGCACCATAGCAAGAAATACTGCATTTTGCTAATGAAGTCCAATCACTTTTTTTTTTTTTTTTAGATGGAAAAGACAATGTCCTGGGCTTTTGAACTAGCTACAGATTTTCATGGTCAGAAACTGAAAAATGCTGAGGTATCTGTTTTGCCCCTCCAGACTTTAAGGGGGAAAAAAAAAAAAAAAAAAAAAAGAAGTAAGTAATTCTAAGATGCATATTGGCACAGCTTTAAAATTCTATTTCAATTGAACAAAACAACTGAATGTTAGCAATTTTTAAAAAGGAAAGTCAACATGGTATTTTGTAATTATTATCACTTTGCTGTCTTCAAGAAATACCTGACTGAATTACAAAGGCATTTAAAAGAGATCTGAGAACATTGCATATCAGTGCTGCATCCAGTCGCACTAACCTGTGAAGTGTGAAAAGTAATTGCATTATTTTTGATCTATGTTTGTCAGCTGGGCACAGAGCAGTGTTTTCATTGCTCCTTCTACCCCAGCAACAAAGCTTAGTCATTGTCCCTGCTGAAAGGGACTTCTTCCTGGAAAATGCATTGTTTCAATAGCTCCTGTATGCATGTTTTTGGTGTGTTGGTTTTTGTTTCTTTTCCTGGAAAGTCCTTTGCATTTTCCTGGGGTCTGCTGCCTAGAATATGGTCCTCTTTTTTTTTTTTTTTTTTTTTTTTTTTTTTTTTTGACATATTTCAATCCAAACTCACTGTGGCTTAACCTTGAAACTCATGGGAAATTCAAAGGCTTTTCAGTGGACTAATGGAGAAAGTCACAACACATACCGTCATGTTAGTTTCCACTAGATTAAAAATTTCCCAAACACAAACATTTGTCAGTAATGGATGTTTGGATAAACAGTGTAAGAAAAGGAACACAAATGATCCTTTTCCTGTTTCCTTCTCATATGATGTCTCTAGCTGTCTTCCTTTCTCTACCACATAATAAGGCAGAGATCCGGGACTGGCTGTCTGATCTGGAAAACACTTTATGTTAAGAGTGCATTCTCATTTACATCAAGGGAAGAACATTGATCATCCTCGGGACTGGACTATCAGGATTTAGAAGAATGCTGGACAAAAAGACTGTCCTCGGTATATTTTCTTTTGCCCTAAAAAGTTGTTTTTCCTTGCCCACAGACAAGCAGCCAACAGTAGGAAACCACAACTGAAGATGGCTGTGATAACATTACTCTTGCTGGGTTAGGAAGATCTTTATTTTCCATGCAAAACACATAATTATTAGTTTAATTATATAGCCTGTTTTCCATGTTGCATTTGCCAGATCTGATATTGTTAAGAATTTAATATTACTTTCACCAGTGGTGAAAAAAAAAAATGTAGAGAAAATTAAACAGTATCGGTCTTTCTGCATGTTATCTATCACAGGGTGACTGAGAGTTCCAGCCATTAATGTAATACAAATACATTTGAAATTTTACAGAATATGATTAGCTGCCTTCAGGTCCTTTTCAATAGGATTGATATCTGTTATGCTTTATCAGGAATTCCTAAATTTCTTTTGCTAGAAACACGATCAAAGGTGCCGGTTTCTGGCTTGTATCCATCTGTGTATCGTGGAGTATTTTGAAACAGCTTGTGTATGTACCCCTACAGGTAGGCAAAAAGGAAATAATATTTGTAGCTTCTTTTTCTCCTAAAATTAAAATATACCTACACAGTCCAGAGCCTGAAAATAAATTCCATTTAGAATGACCTGGATTGTAGAAGGAAGAGGGGGAGTGTATTGCTAAAGAAACATTAACTGATGGAACAGATGGGAAAGACAGACTCTCTAGAAAAAAGTTCCTGTTCATTCTGCCCAGCTTAGAGCGGTGACTGGTACAAAACCAGCCTGTTCAGGGGTGGTTTCATTGTAATGTCATTTAAACCACCCTGAGCTGGGAGGGACATGTCCTCAGTGTACACTGAAGGCGGCTATAGCAGTCTGCTGTTCAACTGCACGGAGCAGCAAATCGGTACATCTCTAATTATTATTTATCTGGCTGGCTAAGCAGTGCAGCATTTAAAACCTAATTTGTTGTATAATTTAATTTTAATTGAGTCTCCCATCCACACAGGACTCGTTAAGTTAGCAGTATGTTTCACTTGCTGTCTTTTTACATGGATACTATGGGAGAGTTGCAGGAGCTGAACCAATCGTTCGCTTGCACTGCACTATCACCAAGGTGCAGTAATTCCTTGGTGTGATTGCAGAGGGATCTCTTGGCAGGAATATTTGGGAAATACGTTTTCTCTGTGCCACAGTGTAACAAAACAACTTCCTCCCTCAGCTAATGCCATGGTTTACACAAAAGATTTGGTTGTTGGGCTTTCAGTTACATCTCCCATATGCTGGTATTTTCCTCTGTGGCTCAGAGATAACAATTACTAGTAAATGTGAGCAGTAATAAAAATGAAGCACTGTGACAATGCTTTTGAGTGATAGTAACTTTCACTGATGTGCCTCTCTTCAAGTGTATAAAAGGCAGCAGTTCTCAGTGAGGACAAAGTCGAAAGTAAGCAGGGCAGTTTACAGACAATTCCTTTTGAAGGGATGCACAGGCCTCAAAGAACCAATTTTGTGTAGTAGTATTACTAAGGGGTGAGTTATAGGCTAAGGTCAATAATGCAAAGCTTTAAGTACGTGCATCAATTTTGACTTACACGGATGCTTGTTTTCCCCTGAACTGGGGCCCATGTGTTTGAGAACTGTGAAGCAATAGTGTATCAATTGAAACTGCAGATCTTAAACACTTTTTAAAAATGATTTAGCTTGTACCCATAGAGATGTGGGGCTTTCTTGCACAGGCTGGTGTCGCTGTGAAGTTCATGTGGCCAAGGGGATTCACAGGGGTTCCCGGAAAGCTTAAGATAACAGCAAAGTCTCATCGCTCAGGCCTGGGAATCAAGTAGGAGTATCAAAGCAAAGAGGTCCAAATGGTTTTGTTTTCAGTGTGTTTTGATTTAATCCAAACTTCAGAATTTTTTGGGGGTGGTGAGGAGGTAGGGGGCAGAGTTCACTGCAACTGTCTGGGTTGTATGACTAATGTAAGAAGCTGATTGTTGGGGAGATCTAGGGTATCTCAGCTTCCTCCTGCTCTATTTTGATGTGCTTAAAACTGTCCAAGTTCCTTGGACGAATGTGGTGAAGGAACTCACAACCAGACAGCCGCTACTGGTGTTGTGCACAAGGATAACAGTTAATCTGCCTAAGAGGCCATCTGACTGGTGGTGCTAATTGGCCTGAGAAGATTATAGTACTATTAGTACAAATGTCTCAGGAAACACTTGAAACAGATACACAGAAACAATAGACAGGTGTGCAGGCTGACAAACAAATGGGCAGTAGTGATAATTCTTTATGCACGGGGGGAGGAGAGGACCACCAAATTCAGATGCTGTTTGTCTTAATAGCCTTTGCGGTGCTGGTGTGTGGAAGGGGGAGTTAGGTTATTTGTGAAATTCTTCAATGGCTCAGAGAAAGAGGGAGTGATGCATAAGAAGCTATCTTTCAGAAGACCCTGAGGAAGGAGCTCCAGATGATGTGGATGTGCCCACCAGAGGACAGGCAGCTGTCCGGTGGGCAGGCACGAGGGCCTGAGGTAACAGCCGTGAGGCTGGAGGGTGAAGGCAGCACCAAGCATGTGATGGAGGGAGACGGTGCCGCTCTGTGGGGCTTCAGACTGAGCTAAGGCAGGAACAGGATGTGCACAAGTGAGGAGGTGAATTGTTCCTGGTCAGTGTAGCACCTTGAGGTTGCTTTGGGTGGGATGGAAGAGGGGAAGGCGAAGTAGGGGGCCTGGGGAAATGAGGAGACCGATGGCCCCACAGGGGCTGTGTTAGTGCAGTGAGGCTGCCCTTGGGGTACTCGTGAGACCTCCCACTTGGTGTTTTGTTCAGTTATGTTGTTTGTTTAGAACTGTAACAGAAGGCATTAAAATAGAGTGCAAGCTACAACCTCAAGGCTCACAGCGGAAAGCAGAGATTTAAAAACAAACCCTACCACTTGTGCTACAATCTCTTCATTGTATAAAAATGAGATGGTTATGAGGGTAACGAAGAGCAATGTGATGATTCTTAATGGTGTGGGAAGCTCTGCTCCTCGCTCTCATCCCTGCTAGCCCTGGGTTTGGGTACGTAAGGACTCCCTCAGTGGTTCACTGCAGGCAGGGACCCCACCACAGGGCACCGCTCCCACCTCAGCGTGATCATCATTTCTAAAGCGTTTCCCTTGCAAGTACGTTTTTATTTAACCACCACCTCTTCAATAACAAAGAGTTAAACTACGGGCATTTTTCCCTGCCCCCGATCGAGCTCAGCCGCTCGCCGGCACGCCCAACCCGCCGCGAGACCCCCGCTCCGCCCTCAACAAAGATGGCGCCCGCTGCGTTGTCCCCCTAGCGAGCCAGCCCACAGCCAAGATGTCCGCCGAGGCGTCGCCCTCCGCCCCTCCCCTCCCCGGCTCCCTTCTCTCCCCGAAGCGCCGCGGAAGGCGCCGGGCTGCAGCCGGCGCGGCTCGGGGCCGGGCGCCGGAAGGGCCGCCCCCGCCGCCGGTGCGTTCCCCATGGCCGCCTCCAATGGCGGGCCGGGCCCCGCCCCGCGGCGATCAGCTGAGGGCGGCAATGTCTGGTGACAGGAGCCGCCTCGGCCGCCGCGCTGGGTGTAAGGGCCGGGCCCGGGGGAGGGACGGGGAGGGGAGGGGGCGCCGGGCCCCGAGCGGGCGGCCTGGGGGGGGGGATCCGGGCACCCCGCGGCCCCCCCGGGGAGCGGGGCGGAGGGGAGAGGGCAGCGCGGGCCGGCCCTGCCCGCTGCCCCTCAGGCGGAGCCCTGCGAGGCGGCGGCGAGCGGCCCGGGGAGGGCGGTCCGCCTCGGCACAAAAGGGGGCGGCCGGGGGCGGGGAGGGGGCCCGGCGAGCCCCCGGGGGGCGAGGGGCCGAGGGGCGGTGTGCGGGGCACGGCCCCCTGTGAGGGGAAGGGGGCACCCGGCTTCCCTTCCCCCCCCCCCCGCCCCGGGTGCTGTGCGATGTGGGGTGGCTTTGTGTGTTTGTTTTTGTCAGATGTGAATCCAAATGGAGCGCTCGGAAGGAGGCGAGCAGAGCAAGCAGCGGCAGCCCTGGGGGAAGCTGATCCGGCTGGGTGCTGAGGAGGCAGAGCCGCACGTCCTGCTGCTGAAAAGGGAATGGACGATTGGTCGGAAGAAAGGTGGGACAGGCAGGGTGTGCTGGGGCCGCAGGGAGCCCCTCCGGCCTTTAAGGCGTTAGGAGGTGGCCTGTAAGGCGGTGGACTGAGAGTAGTTGGTTTTGACCGCTTTCAGCTGCCGGAGGTGCTCCCCAGACCGTCCCTTGTTCCCCTGGGCGCTGTGCAAAGAGAAAGTTTTACACTGACCTTTTCCGCGTTTCCACCAGATTTCAGCACGCACACCTTTACAAGCAAACGTGCCTTTCAGGTCATCAGTGACAGTTTGTACAAATAAGAAAAAATGACAGTTGATTCAGAAGAGCGTCTGCATTAGTCTTATTTATGTTCCCTTTTCGTTTCTGTGGTTAAAATGAGTGGGAACTGCAATACAAAATGCTTGGGCTTCACAGAAAAGAAAATGTCCACATGAAAACTCACACTACTTCTGGCTATATAAAGATTGCCAACAAGTACAGAAAGTTTTTCAGAGTGGATTTACAAGCTTTATGTTCCTCATCTAAGGCTATTAATATTTGTCTCTTATTTTAATGCTTACTGCACTTAAACCAGTCACCATGGTGTTTTAATTTTTTTTACTCTGCCATGACAACACTAACTTCCAATTCTTGTCCATCAGATCAAACTATTTGGGTAATTGCATTTTGTAAAGCAATAGTCTTGAACAAGCGCTAGATGTTATTACTCTATGAGAAATGCAGATAACATGTAGTTGGAAAAACGTTTTATGTATTTACATGTGGTAATTAATATTAAGATTGCTTAATGTTATCTAAGCTGTAGATAAATCCTTCAAGTTGAGGTCCAGATGACGGTTGGATTTCTTGCAAGCTGAATTGCTTCTGTACCTGTCTACTGATAGATCAATAAAATGAGTGACTCTCATGACACGCTTTGGCTTGCAAATATTACTCCTAAAATTATCAAGAATATTTGAAAGGACAAAATGCTCCAAATGAGCTTTCCACCTACTGGTGTGATTCTGAGTAAAATTTAGTTTACTCACTTTCATTGTGCTTCCTGTTATTGCAAGTTGTGCAACAGTTAACTGTAGCTGTTGACTGTGCCCTGAATCTTTGGAGCAGGATAGCAATAAGCTGTCACAACTGTCACCAGCATTAGTGGCTGCTCCTTTGGGGTATGTTGTTTTTGTCAGCTGACACCTACAGTTGTACCTACAGTGTGAATAGGTGAAAGTAAATCGTATTTTTCAGCTTTAATTTTCCTGTAAGCAGGTGCTTTGAGTCATTTGTGAGAGAGATCAGTGTCTTACGCAAGGAATTTTGAGAATTGCCTTGAACAGTCCATGTTAAAGGGAAGTAAAAAACTCTTGATTTGCTCAGAGCCCTGGAGTTGTAGGTAGAAAAGTCTCTACCATGTCAGTATTGTCACTACACTTCTCCAGCATATCCCTAAATCTTAGTCAGTCCTGGGGTTTTTAATCTCCAGTCAGCTTTAATAATGTAACAATGCTGTCAACAAAGATAAGGAATATTTTCTTATTTAAAACCAAACAAAAGAAAAAGGCTTTAAGGTAGAGCAGTGATACTCTCATTTATCAGCTGTTGGTTCCACAACTTCTTCCCGCTATACCAGGATGGAACCAGAAGTTAAATCAAATCAATCAGTGTTAACCTGATGTGGAAAAAGAGCTGGGTGCTCTGTGACATATCTCTCTAGAATTTAGCTCGAATGCATTTCAAGTATTTGTGAATTGGTACCACTCTAGAGCAGAGTAATTGTGACATGATTTCCATCTGTAAAGGCTGGGATTGGGGAAAGAAAGGGAGTGAAAACATCTTAAAATGGTTGAAATAATCTTCTATCAGTACACAAGGCTACTTCACTGTATTTATGTATCACATAGATGGACTGTGTTTCTGCCTGTATGCCAGTAGAAATTTTGAACTACTGCAGATGTACATGAGTCAGTTTGTTGTGCATTTATAGCCATGTAGAATGCTGATCTGTCTGTGTAATGTGTATTTTTAAGCACACTGGAAAATCTGCTTTCTTTTTAAGGTTGTGACTTATCTTTCCCTGGCAACAAGTTGGTGTCTGGAGATCACTGTAAAATCATAGTGGATGAAGAATCTGGTCAAGTGTCATTGGAAGATACAAGGTTGGTTTTCCTGTGCACTTCTGTTGTTGTCTTCTCTTTAGTCTGTGAAGTAAAATCTTGTGTATTGCTCAAGGCATTGAGAGTAAACTCTTCTAATTTTCCTTCCTTTTTCTGTCTTTTACTTTTTGCATCTGTGGGGTGGGGTTTTTTAGATTTTTATGGTACTTCCTAAGTATTTTTTTCTTCTTTAAAAGGAATTGATGAAAATGCTGATGATGTAATAGTTCTGTGGGATATTTCTTTAGTCTTGTGGAGGGAAAAAGAAAAAAAAAAGGATTAGAGTGATGCCAACATTCTTAAAAGCTGTAAGCATGAGCGTGCCTCATTTCAGGTACTTGTAAAGGGAGGTGGATACCAGCAGTGCTGATCTCAAATCTCATAAAATAGTAAAAGTCTGTATTTGTTATACATCTTTCTGGTATTCAAAATATCAATAGCCTGTATATCACGGGCAGTGTAGTTATCTGTCTCTTGTGGTGGGCATGTCAGATGCAGATTAAAGCCTATTCAAACTACTTGAATAGTAAAAGATACTTGCTAGAATTCTACCGTTGAAATGTGTTGTGTTTTCTTATGTTTAACCAGAATGATTTTTTTTCTATGGTGTGTCTGTATTCAGTTAAGGGTTTGAGAACTAAGGCTCTTAATGTAAGAAGATTTAAGCACGTATCTTATTGTAACTACTGTTAAAAAGCAAAGCTAATTTAGTGGAACTACTTCTAGTATATAAATTTAATTACATGCTTCTTCATATACTGAAGGCCAATGAACTTGCTATGCTGGTGAAGTTATTTTCTGTAGAGTTTTAAGGCTACTGTGGAAGTCAAGTAGCACTGCAGGGGTTGTGGGTGGTTTCTAGTGGATCTTATTTTTTCTGTATAAAATTTGAAATAGGAATTTGAATGGAAGGTTATTTCTTAAGAGATTGTAATCCCCTTCAAATTTTCATCTGCTTCATTTTTGACAGGATTTTTTGTCTAAAATTGCAGAAAGCTTCTGGTTTATTACATGTCAAGAAATTTGTGACATTTCAGAATGTTTCTGTAAACCACATTCTTTTTATGCCATGCCCCTGCAGTCAATAAAGAAACAAATAATACTTTTCTGCCAGCTCCCCCCATTCTTTGTGTCTAGAAGGCATTTTACCCAAAGATGAGGATAACAGTTTAAAATTCAGTGAAGTATATACATAAAGACAAAATTTAATGTGGGAGATTTTACAGGGTATCATGCTGAATCTGTTGTTTCCTATTCAAACATACCAGAATGCAGCTAAATATATTGTTCTGGGAGTTCAAGGTTAGTGTCGTGTACTTGCTGGGAAAAAAGCCTTTAGTTGACATCTTTCTTTGAGCAAAACGTTTGTCTCTGGTTCAATTAGAGACTGTGCTGATATTAAAAGGAACTCACTTCTAGATATTTACATGGGTTATTTATTTTTATTTTGTTTCCTCAAGTAAAGCCAGAACATCATGGAATTGTTCAGCTTGGAAGATGCCTAAGGAGGTCCCATACTTCATTTGTTTCATTTCCCTTTGTTTCAATTTATGATCTTTGTTGCCTCAGTAAAGAGCCTGGCTCTGTCTTGGTAACTTCCTCATAGGTACCGGGTGGTTGCTATTAGGTCCCATGCTCCCCAAGCCACCTTCTCCCAGGTAAAACAAGTCCAGTTCCCTTAGCTCATAGGTATTGTGCTCCAGCCCTCTGGACATTTCAGTGGGTATCTGCTGGACTTTCTCAAGTTTATTAAGACCTTTCTTGTACTAGGTTACCCAAAACTAGATGTAATATTGTAAACGTGGGTTAATGAGTTCCTAGCACAGTGGAATAATAATCACTGCACTTGATCATCCGACTACGCCCTGTTAATACAGCCAAGTGTGCTGTAGGCCTTCATCGCTGCCAGGGCATGCTGCTGACTTATGCCTTGGCATAAATCCAAGGTGTATGATCTCATGCTTAGGCATAAGATCCACCGAGATCCCTTGCTGATCTGTCCCCAGCCTTTACCGGTGCAGGTGGTTATTCCATCCCCTGTGCAGGGCATTGTGTTTGCCTTTGCTGAACATTGTGGTGTTCCCATCAGCCTGCCTAACGCCCTCTCTAGAGCCCAACTTTTGCATACACTGAATATAACTCCTACTTTGGTATCATCCACAAGCTTGATAAGGGCGTACTTCCTCTCCCCATCTAGGTTGTAGCTAGAGATAGTAAACAGGATAGGTCTCTCAATAAATCCCTGATGGTTTGTGGCTGTTGGGAAAGCTTGTACTGCGAGAGGCTGTGGGATGAAATGCTAAACTTCAGGGAAAAAATGTCAGGTCTAGCTAGGACATCTAGGTAATGGCTTGTAAATGTCATCCTCCAACATTATTCCACAGTTCCAGATATTTCAAACAGCAGGTCATGCCACGTTTGCCAATCCGTGGTAGTTTCAGAGGGCAGCTGTAAATCCAAGTTTGAAAAACCATCTGTTGTTTCAGGTGCATTTAACTGGAAGAAGTAGTTCAGACCTATACGGTAATAAGAAAAGCCGGAAAAATTGTGAATGATGTAGAAGTTTTCCTACCTTTCCTTCTTCTCCTCCCACACCCCCATACCCAGCCCAGGCAAAAGCAGCCAGCAGAAAGAGCTAGCCAAATCAAATTAACTTTTCTTTTTACATGATGCATTCATGGAAAGGTGGGGCCTGTTACACCGCTAATGTCATCGAAGGGCTGCATGCCTGCAGAGTACTACCAGTTAGCTGCTTATGCACGTTGCACTTCTGTGTGGCTAGCAAAAAAAGAATAAGGTCATTCCTGTGTTCTGCTTGCCAGTGAGTTGGTATGAAGTGTAGTTACCTCTTGCTGAATGAAGAGACTAAACAAGTTGATGTAACTACTTGCAGAACACCCCACTCTTCTGGGTCTCCCAGTGTTTGAGCTGAATATCAGCTGAGCTCCAAAGAATCAAGCAGGCTGAAAGAAGAAGAATTTTGAATGTTTGAGTTGGCAATACTGATGCCCAGAGTCCCAGAAAAATACTGCAGCATCAGCTTTTTCTGCTGTTAAGTGGAAAATAGTTTGGAAACATTGCTGTGGTCAAGCTCAGATTTTTCTGGTGAAAAGGAATGCATTGAAGGAGGCAGCTAGTGTGGGACAGTTGAACTGAGTGGACTTTGTTTTTCTATTGTAATTAGTTCAAAGAACATCATTAAACACATTGTTGACTGTCCACATATTTTTTATCTCTGTGGTAGCATACTGAGTTCTTGGATCTATTTTTGAAAAGACTTACCGTAAATTCGCAGGTGGAAGGAAATGTGCAGAAAACTCAATTATTGAGTAAACAGAAATTTGGAAATAACAAACACAAGAGTTAGCAAATAGTACAATAGAATATCCATGGAATCACCCTTTTTTTGATGTATGTTTCTGCTTTATTTTCCAAACCATGCCCTAGTTGCTTGGTACTGCTTGAAAGAAATACCAGTTAACCTGACACAGCTGAAGCAGTCATTAGTTTGCTGTAAGTAAAAGCAATTGTAAGATTCTTTGAAATAGAAGTTTAAAAAGCAAGTAAAGTAACTTCTAAGGACTTCCTCTTGTTGTATTCTAATGTTTTTGTTCGTTTGTTTTTAGGATTCTCATTAAATATTAAGTGATTTTTCACAGCAGGGAAGGTTTATTTGCACAAGACTCTTCCCCGTGACAGACAAGCAGGTATTCCCTTTCTGTGGGGGAACAAGAGATTGATCTTCACTGGAGAGTGGTGTCCTTTCTGCTACTAAATTCTACTTATCCTGCAGTCAAGCTATTTCTGTGAATGTAAAATAAATAAAAAATGAGACCGATACAGTAGAGAAGGGCTTCAGTAACTTATTAAAATTCAAAATTCATTTCAGTTTACAGTGTGTTCAGGATAATACACAAATAACTTCTAAAACTATCAACCCATAAGCTTTACCATAAATTACATTCTTTTCCTGGATGGATACCAGTAATTACTAGAAAGTACTGTCGTTTTTCTGGGAATGATACCAAAGTATCTGACAATACACAGATCATTTATCTACTTCAAAAATAGGCGTTGTCTGAGTGAAATGTGATTGTTCATATAAATTCTGTACAACAGCCTGGATAATGTATAGTTCATTAATCAAACTGTAAAGTCATCAACCATGTTGGAACTGAGTCAAGGCTTTTTTTTTTGTACTCTTTTAGAAAGGTGACATTGTGACCTTTTGTGACATTGTTTCATAACTCAGACAACTTATGTCTGATGGTCCTGTTTTTCTTCTCCATGTCAAAAATAATACAGCCAGTTAAAATAAATTCAGTAGTAAGTCCACATTAATGACCTTCATGTTTAGGATTCTCATTGTGTTTCCTACTTACCTTATAAGGACCTTACTATAGTCTGAAACATCAGAGGAACGTGCAAATGTCATTATTTATCATGTGTGTCTCATTAAAAATACCCACAACATTAATCCAGTATGTCACCATATCTGTTCAATGTCTCTGAACGTTTAAACCGAACCCTGAAACTGGAAATGCTAAGTGAAAGAATAACACAATTATCTGGGGTAGTTGGATTTTTTTTTTCTTTGATAATTGTGGGATATAAAGACAACTGCTTCAGTTTGCTAATGTATTTAAGAAAAGCTTGTGATTTTCTGTGTTGAAACCAATTTATTCCTACTTCATTTGCATCTGTAGATGCCACATAATTAATTACTTAGTTCTCATCAATGTCAGTATAACTGTTCAGGACTGAAAAGATTTAGATATTTGTAGCTACTTTGTGGATTAGGGTCCTGGGTGGCAGTTTCTGCAGCTTGCATCATTAGACCAAGAATGAGTGGTTACTGATGCATGATGGTGATAATTTTTTTCCCAAGAATGCCTCACTTGATTTATTGCCCCTCATAACTACAGATGGACTAGAATTATTTTTCTTAATTGCTAAACTTCTTGTGCTTTTAGCAACATGTCTGTTCTACTGTCGTTTTCATTCTCAAGTCTTTCAGGCTTCAACATCTATATGTCTAAAGTGAAAAGGCAAGCTCAGAATAGTTTCTTGGCTTATAAGGGAAGCTTTTAGATTCTTTAATGGAGCAAAGATTGTTGTGACCTGAAGATTTTTGTTTGTTGACATCTGAAGTTGTTTTATAATTATTTATATTGGATTAGTTGATTCATCCATATATAGAGAGAAAGCAGTTGCATAGGGAAAAACTAGTATCTTGAACAAGACATGCTGTGGTTATTCAAAAGGACTTCCTTTCCCTTCTAACATTTCAATGTAATGCTTTTGACTTTGTGAAAAGGTCAGCAGTCCAAAGTTCTCTTTTTCTTTCTTTCTCAGTTGATACTACTAAATAACAAGAGAATTTTCCAGGTTCAAGTTGCTTTTTTCAAGGAAAAATGCAGAGGAGAAGGGAAGGTGCTAATTTCTAAATAACTGTTGCTCTCTTCTAGAAAAACTAGGTTTCTAGGTCTTTTAATAGACTGCGAAGTGTCCTGAGAATGAGCGGTGGCCACCAGGAGGTGGCAGCAGAGATTTGCTGTCATTTCATGGAGAAGCTTGCTCTGCTGAGGGGAAAGAAACAGATCTGTTCTTTCATATTTGGTACTAATTGCTGAGACTTGAAATAGCAGAAGTCTGAAGTTCTAGAATGTTGCAGCCCTGAAAGAGGCTTATTGTAATTGAGCTGAAATTTTTCAGTATTTGAATAATGTGATTGAGTTATAAGGCTTGTATATAAAACATCACTCACAGTGAAACAGCAAAGATCTCTATTAATCAGCAATGCTTTGTATTTGCTGCTTCCCCAGTTTAATTTCATCCATGAGTCTTGCAGCTTTTATAAATACCAAAATAATTCTTTCCAACTCATCTTTTAATTGTGCATTTTTTTTTCACTTTATGTCTTGATTTCATGTATTTCAGATATCCCTTCCTGTTTTATACTTAAAGGAAGGAGATTTTTCTACAGAAAGAATCATCTAATTATTTTGACACAGCGGCCAAATGTCAGGGATCATTTGTCTGTCTGTCAGCTACCATCTCTTTACTAGGAGCTCTAAATGAGCTCTGAAGTCCGAATAGCCCTGAACTTCTGTCTCTCTAACAGTTGGTTTGGTGTTTTGTTTTGTTTCTGAACAGTTCTTTTGATCCTTTCTTAAAATGTTTTTGAGAGACAACAGTTTTCGTCATGAAAAGTATCTTGTATTTTCCCTTCCTTCTCCTAGGTATTTATGAAAACATTTACTCCAAGTTATCTTTTCTTTCTCTTTACAGTACTAATGGAACAGTAATTAATAAACTGAAAGTGGTTAAGAAGCAGACATACCCTTTACAGACTGGAGATGTGATCTATGTTGTTTACAGAAAAAATGAGCCAGAGAACAGTAAGTAAATAATATTTTTTTTAATGGTATACTTAGTCATTTTTGAATCATGAAAGGGAAAAAAAATATATAATTAAAACAGAGTTACTTCATTTTAAGACAAACAATTTGTTGACATGTAGAAACAAGTCTCCATAAAAGAGGTCATGGACATGCTAATTTTTACAGTGACAAGTAGTAAGTTAGGGAAATCTTTCAAACTGTATTAGTTTGAAGTGTTTGGCTTAAAAAAAATAAATCGGCGAATGTGGAGGTATTTTTCAGTTGGTTTTATTAATACATACTGAGTTAGTTTCTCGATGAAACTTAGAGCATGCCATAAATCTGTTTGTTTTTTTTTTTTGAGTTCATGCATTTCAGAAATGTAAGCAAAATGGATTGAAGAATTTGAGAAATTAATTAAGAAATAATAAGCTAAATGTAACTTAATAAGAAGAACAACTTTCGCTGAATTATCCCTAAAGGTACTCACAGTCTGCTCTGACACAGAGCAATTTTAGGTTTAAGAAACATTTAAGCCTCTGGTTCCACGGCTGGCACAAGTTAAACTTCACACAAAAGCACCTCTGCCTGGTTTCATGAGAAGAAAAGATCTTACTGTGCTGTTCCTAATTGCCTCCTAAGTAGGAGTATTAATATTGTACTACAGAGGTGATCCCTCATGTCCCTATTCCGTTGTCAGACACTTTGGGGAAGCAGCCGCTTGGACATAGAATTAGCTTGTGTAAGATTAAGGTTAGCTGATTTTTGTTTAAAAATTCTGATAAATATTTTTATCTCTTTCAGATGTTGCGTATCTTTATGAATCCTTAAACACAAAACAGGATGCAACTCAAGAAACAGTAGGTAAGGAAGTAATTTAAGACCCAAGAAGAGGAGCTAAGCTAAGCTCCAATAACTAATGCAGCCTTTTTGAGAGAATTTGATTCCTTGGGAATTCTGAAGCGTAAATGCTGTGGTGACTGTCACATAGATATCTTTCCCCTTTTTTCCCCCCTCACTGTAGAAGCTAATGTAGAAAACCAATGCCATGTGACCAAAGATACCTCAAGTACAGGAAGAAGTAATGATGAGACCCAAATTACCTCATCACCATCAGCTACTCAGTCTTGCTATGAGGAACCACAGCCATCTACTTCTACATCTAACCTCTTTAATGCTTCTTCTACCTCTCTTATTGAGTCTGCATCTGAGCAGGATAATCCTTCTACATCTGGTAAGAATTGTGTCAAGTATTTAAAGTTTGATATCACATCAGCTGTTATTCCAGATTTGAAATTTAACCTCACCCTTCTCTGTGTCTGTAGCATTTACATCGTGAAATTCTAAAGAACTTTCTCTGAGTAGGCAGGGTAAATCTTGGTGGTTAGGTAGAACAGTTGTGAGAATTGCTTATGCTCAGAGATGCACAAAATCCTTGTAAAGCCCAGACTGTTCCGTCGTTACACTATGGGTTTATAGCAGTCTGGTGAAACCTTAGTAAATGTATATGGTTCATATAACAAATCCAGTAGATACAAGTGCTTGCCTGCATGCAGTCATTCTGAGAAACTGCTTTAATTGTCACTGTTTCTTCTGCCAGTCACCAGACCCCTTTCTCTTGCTTAGAGCTCTAAGGCCGAAATATACTGCATAGATTCCTTGTCTGTTACCTTGTATTTGGAAGTGTAATATCCCAGTGCTGCACAACTCTTACAATAGACCTGGAGTAAGAGCAGTTCTCTGAAAAATGGCATTTGACAACAGTTCATGGGGACTTCTTCCACTCCTTTGAAATACATGGAAGTAAAGCTTTGTGCTCTGCTGTGCTCCTGACCTGTTGAATATTATCAATATTGTATAAATCCTCTGCCTAGCATCTTTGTCAGAAAGAACTGATGTGGATAACAGTCTTTGAATAAATACTCTGTACTTTAAAGAAAGGTGTGTCATGGGTATTTTAAGTATGGTTTCACAGCTAATAGCCTTATTTCCAGTTCTTCCAATTAGATTGGCTCAGAATACCTGTGGTATAGTTAAGCAAATACTACTTCTGTGCATTTGCAGTGCTTTTTCCTATTCAGATGTTTCAATTGATGTATGTGCATCATCAGCATTTGAATAATTTCTTTTTTCATGCCCCATTTCTGTATGCTGTTATGTTCAGTCTTGTGTTTTTATTTTGCAGGATCGCAATCCTCAGTTTTCACTCCTGTGCCTGCTTTCCCAATCTTAGAATCTGTGTGTCTAAAAGCACTGCATGATGAACATGAGAAGCTTGATGACAACACTGAAACTTCTGCAATCGCTTCAGAAATCAATGACAAAGAAAAAGCAGAATCAGATGCTCAAACGACAGGGGAGGAGGAAATTTTGGAACCTGCAAAGAAGAAACTAAAAGAAGGCTAGTATACTGCACTATTCTGCAGCCTACTCTGCACTCTTTAAGATTATTGTTGAAAGTTAGTTTAAAACACTTAGACATAGCTTTAAGTTTCTAATTTAAGTTTTTTAAAGAAGCCCAGTGAGGTTAAGAAAAATAAGGACAGATTATTAGATTTCTGTTAAAGTGAAGTAAATTGAAAATGCACACCTATCAAACTTAAAGAGGGTTGAAAGGCTAGGTTAGTATGGGATAGGTAATGTTTTCCCTCCTCACAATGTAATTCTATGTTGTAGTATTGTATTAAATAAGGAAAGTAATACTTATCCCCTCATTCCTCCCATCAGTCGGCTGAGTCAGGTCAGCTGTCATCAGTCAATTTTTGATTTCTTCTCATTTACTTGTTTTCTGGTCCAGTGAAAATGATGACTTCTTTAGCAGAAACTGTTATGTGTAAAGCAAGAACCTTCAGTGGGGCCACTGACAGTGAACCGTGAATTAGTGTGCACCTTTCAGGTCTTTTTTTTAAACAGTTAAAAAATAGTTTCAAGAAAAATACTACGGAGTCTTCTGCCTTTGTAGATGAAGATTCCTGTCCAAATGTTCCAGCAGCAGCTCCAAGTGAATGTATAATTAAAATTGGCTCTGAAGATGCAAAAACATCAAATGTGAAACCGGATAAAATGGAAGAAACATTAACTTGCATTATCTGCCAAGAACTGCTGCATGACTGTGTAAGGTAAGTTTGATTGACAAAAGCTGTAATCATGATATTAAGATAAGAAATTCAGTGACAATTGCTTAAGGTGGCCTGGATATTTAGGGTATTCACAAGCCCTTCTGAGTCTTCTTTTTTTTTTTTCCTCCCCTCCAAACTATATAGTTAAACGAAGTGGATGCTTTACAACTGTCTTTCTGATTATCTCAACGCAGCATAAATATCTTTTGAGTGTTAAAAATTTAACTAAAAATTGAAAGACCTGTTTTTTACTTAATTCTTTCATTGCTGTCATGCTTGTGTTTTCCAGCTTGCAGCCTTGTATGCATACTTTCTGTGCTGCCTGCTACTCAGGATGGATGGAGAGGTCTTCTTTATGTCCAACGTGTCGTTGTCCAGTAGAACGTATTTGTAAAAATCACATATTGAACAACTTGGTTGAAGCTTATCTAATTCAGCATCCAGGCAAGTTGAACAGTGTGTGTAAAAGAATCTGATGTATTTCACATATTAGCTGTGTATGTAACTGATGTAAGCACAAAGACTGTTGTCTGTTAAGTTTGTATATGTCATGCTTCTCTGCTCTTTTCTCTGACATGGCTGTAAGAAAACAACTGCTTACATTTAATCTGACATAATAGCTTGTAATATTTCAAGTAGTGTTGAGAATTAAAGGTGATTTAATACTGTAACTGCATATACTAGGAATTCTTAATTTTACATGTATATGACTACTTTATCATGCAAAGAATATCAGTTCTATCAAATAGGAGGCACTGAGTGATTAGGCTGCCAAAACTCAGATAATTCCGAAAAATATACTTAAATATGGATTTAATTAACTTTGATCATAGACTCATGAAAACAAAACTTCACTTGCCTGTTACTAGAGTCTCATTAGCAAACGGGAATTTAACTAAGAGCTTTTAGAACTGTTATCTAAGAATAAATTTTATGGAAATGAAAATGCAATAAACACATTGTTAAAGTAGGGTGGGAGTAAGAAATGTGATGAATCTTGTGCTCTTTTCTTGAACTTTGAATTTGGTTTTCATGCAGATAAATGTCGTAATGAAGATGATGTACGTAGCATGGATGCTCGAAACAAAATCACTCAAGACATGTTGCAACCTAAGGTGCGGAGATCTTTTTCAGATGAGGAAGGAAGTTCTGAAGATTTACTGGAATTGTCAGATGTAGATAGTGAATCTTCAGATATCAGGTATGTCTGTGTTGTGCATTGAATTAGATTTGTTTATGCTTGAATGTCTAAACCCACCAGCTAAACTAGTTCCACAAACACTGTTATTGCTGATAGTGTTTCCATGATCATTTCCAGAATGAATCTTTTGTTTTCAGTTAAGTTCATTCTTACCAGTAATTATCTTGGCAATTCTGCTGCCATCCTTCTTAACTTTGACCAGTCAACAAAAAATATTTAATGCTAGAACACCCAAAAACCCAGCAATACTCAGTTTATGACCAACAGCTCTATACTGAGTAGTACAACAGATTTATATGAGATGTGTGAAAATGCTTTTTGTGGCTGTTGCTTTACAGAAAATAGATTTCTGGCTAAGGTCTTGTTATGAGATAAGCAGTCTATGACCCTATGAGTCTAGCTGCAATAGTTGTGCTTTCTTACACGTCAGGCATGCTGCTTTAACCAGGTATATGCTACTGAAGCATCTGATACTTGACCTAGGGATTCCCAAGTACTAGAATAGCTTCTCATTTCCAACAGCAAACACTTTTTGCTGTATGTCTAGCAGAGAACAGAAAAACTCTTCCAGTAGATAATTATTCCAACTTTGTTCCATTCTTTTTTGTTCATCTTATTTCCAGTCACACCACTCAATTTTCTTTCTGAAGCTATTAAAAATCCTTTCTTTCACAGTATTTCCTATATGTTACAACTAAAGCATTCTTCACAGCTGTGACGTACTGAGTTATGTAAACTTCCATATGTTACTGGATGAAGAAATTCCAATTTTAAACTTCAAGAATATGACCAACCTCGTCTAGCATAGGGATGTGAGTTATATTTGCATTTGTTGGGTGTTATTTCCTATGACCTTATTTCCTTTTTTCAGTCAACCATATATAGTATGCAGACAGTGCCCAGGATATCGAAGACACTCTGTTCCAACTCTGCCTGGCACAGGCCAAGAGACAGAAACAGGAGGAATGCAAGCACTGGGAGATGCACCCTCTACATCTGCCAACTTCCCTGCAGGTTGGTGTCATGAAGTCTTCTCAGCAGTATGCAACTAAGATATTCCAACTCATTCATCTGTTATGAACTAAGAATGCTTACTCTTGTAGTACTGTGAGAATGTCACCACTCCACATAGTTATCTTTGCAAATATCATGAAATGTGGCTGTGGTTCAGATAGACTTCTGATGATAATTTGTAAATTGTTTTACATATTCAAATGTTTTTACACACCTCTGTAGTTTAGAAGTCTTAATGTAATTTTTCTGCTCTTTTAAAGAATCTTTCTGAATATATATATGTTGCTTCCTTGATACTTGCATTTTTTTTAGTCTTGTGTTCACTAAGATCCCTAGTCCAGATTGCAGTCTTGTGCATCATTGTCTATACTTTTGTTCCTTTTTCTTTCTCTTTTTCCATCCATCTAGCTGTCCAGGAATACGTGTGTCCTGCTCAAGGAAGTCACGTAATATGTACCTGCTGCTTTCAGCCAATGCCTGACCGAAGAGCAGAGCGTGAACAGAATCCCCATGTTGCTCCTCAGCAATGTATGTGTGTATATATATATATTTTATTTTTCTTTTTAAGTTTTTCTTAAGTTTGGCTACAAAACTAAGTCTTCCCTTATTTTAGTGAAGTTTATTTTGAAGAGTGTTCTTTATTTGAATATTCTTTATTGGATTCTTGTAGTCAGTGCATGAAAATCTTCCTTCATAGAATTTATTATTCCTCTATAGAGTTTATTTTAAATTTGAAAGTTTTACTTTTATTTTAAAGCAAGTTTATCAGGGCTCTTATTATTATTGCTTTATAGGCACAGTGACTATTGAGTTTTTTTGTGTGTAGTCCTTATAGGGGTTTTCTTTGTTATCTTACAGGTACAGTTTGTCTGCAACCCTTCTGTCACTTATACTGGGGCTGCACTCGGATGGCATGTTTTGGCTGTTTGGCACCGTTCTGTGGTATTTGGGGATAAAATGTTTCTTATAAGCATGCTTTCTTTGCAAAAATTTCTGTCTTGAACTTTGGGTAATTTAAGAAATATGATAAATTAGTTTGAAATACAGTCATGCAAAAGGAAACACAGGCTGTGTCCTCACATTACAAATACTTCTTGAGCGATGTGTACATGTATTAGCTTTGAGAGGATTTAATTTCTTGTGTCCTTACCATATTCAGCTTGAAAGCTGCACTTGTTGAGCAAAATGCTTTCCAGTATAAAAAGGATCATATTGTATTTCAGCCTAGTAAGAGAATCATGCAAGTCAATGCAAGAGCGCTGAACATTTGGTGTTAACTGATTGGAAAAGAACCTTACTCTCCTAAATATGTAGACTACTGAAACTCAATGTTTTAAAAAATAAAAATAAATAAAAATTGAAAAATAAATTAGAACAGTTGAAATTACTTGACTGTAGTTTGAAGCTAATGGAATATGCTTCAATAATACTGTTAATTTGTGTAGATCACTACTACTTTCACCTACTGAAGGTGAAATTGTAAAATCTTAAATGTTTTATCTTTGATTTCAACTGGGAATTATATATCACATGCTTTAGCACATGCTGAACACAGCCATGTGCTTGGAGCTCACGTGGGTCTGTGCACGTTATTTCAGGAAACAGAAGAAACTTCAGAAAATGCTTGAGGGCTGAGGGGTTGGGGAAGAAATAGTAACTCTTCTTCTTCTTCTCATTAGAAATAAATCTTGGTGACAAGTGTTTAGATGGAGTCCTAAATAACAACCACTATGAGTCAGATATCCTAAAGGTATGCCTAAAAATCTTTATGTAGGATGCAAAATAATAAATGTACATTGCTTAAGATTTACTCCTGAAATTATATGTGCTGCCTGACAACTGAAGTGATGGCATTGTGTCACTTATAGCACATGATTCTGAAGGGCAAGTCATATGAGCCCTGAATGTTCAGCTGGACCAAGACTGTAGTTACTGTATCTAGACTGGAAGTATTTTGAGGTGGTGATTTGGCTTTTCCCATCTTTGTATAATAGGGCATGGTATCCTGTAGATGTATTCTATTTAGCAACTCTTCCCTTTCCACCCAAATTAACAAAAAATAATCGCCCTAACTCATGAATTTGAGTTTAAATGACTAGAATTCAGATATGTTTAGTTGTTAAATCATCCAAGAACTTTACTTGTAATGAAGTATTTGTTAGGGAATGCAGTTTCTACAGTCTAAAGTGTAACATCTGAAATATTAATTAGAGAAAAATAAATCACTAAAATATATCAGGAAAACATACGTTTTTTTGTTTGTTTGTTTGTTTTGCCAGAATAGGTAAAATTCTATTTGTGATGCATGGAAAATATTTTGTCCATGCCATGACTAGGTTATCTAAATTAAGTAAAGATTGGATGAAATCTTGATGCAAGTTAAATGAGAATGTGACTGAAGGGAGATGAAGTGACTTAAATGAGAATGTGACTGAAAACAATTTGCATTGTTTTAGCAAAAGTAGGTAAACTCTGAACAAAAGATACTGAGCTAAAGACTGTATTGGTGATCTGAAAATATCTTGCTCATTAAGCTAAAGAAATGGTATTTTATTCTTATTTGTAATCAGAATTAACCATTTTTGAAAGCCCAGTTAGATCCAGATTTGGAAATATTTGAGGTTAAATGTCTCTGTCTTATAATGTTGGAGATTTTTCTTATTTAAGCACTTAAATCACTCTTTTTTTTAGGATTACCTGGCATCCAGGGGTTTGACTTGGAAAAATATGTTAAATGAAAGTCTGTTAGCTCTTCAAAGAGGAGTGTTTATGTTGTCAGGTATGTTAATGTTCATTTTGGTCTGTGTGTAACTCCTTGTATATGTATAACTCAGTAAGTAATATTATCAAGAGGTTTGAAGTTCTGTGTATATAACCAGTGTAATGATGTTTTTGTTAAGTCTGATTTCTTACTCCTTACACTGACATTATGTACAAACTGGATTTCTCCCCAGATTACAGAATTACTGGGAACACAGTGCTTTGCTACTGTTGTGGCCTTCGCAGCTTTCGAGAACTTGCCTACCAGTACAGGCAGAATATTCCTGTTGCTGAATTGCCAGGTGGGGATAGCTTTGCACAATACAGAGAAAGTCAGTTAAAGAGTTAGTTTTATTCTTGTGTCTTCTGTTTGAAGCCTTAGATTTAAATGAGATGTGTGTTTATATTCTCCAGATTAACAGGTCCCAGTGTAGGGCAATTTTTTTAGCAACTTTATGTAGCTTGGTGGAAGTCTTTTTGCAGAGCTGATATGCTGATTGCTTTACTTGTCAACTGCTAAATTTGCATATAGTTATTGTCAGACTCCCTAATGGGATCTTTTCTTTCAATATGATTTCTTATGCATATAATAAATGTATCTGCTTAGTGAGAAGAGGAACTCAGTAAAATCCAGAATAGATTCAACAGGAACTAGTTGATGTAATTTATTTTTTTCATTTAAATGTGTAAGATGATACATTTCCTGGACAACTTCATATTTTTACCAGCTCTCAACTAGGAACAAGAATGTTTTCATAAATTAATTCTAAATCTGTTTCCATTTACAGTTTTAGTATAAAATAGCATACAAGCAACTGTGCCTCCTTCAGTCCCAAATCTGTTGGGAACAGAAGCTCTTCCAACAGTCTACTTTTAAACATTACATTTGTCCAGTCAGTTCTTGCTAGCAACTACTTCCATGTCTAACTATTTAGAACTCTGCATCTGTGCATAACAAGAGACAGTCAGTCTAGCTTGTTTCTTCTTCGTGTTGCTTTTCTTTTTAGCGTAATGCCCTGCTGGACCACTGAGTGTAAAACATTTACATTTATGTATGTAAAACTAGGGGAGAATAACAAACTACCCAGATTAATTAGTTTTTCTTTTATATGGAAATATATATAGACATGCTCAGTGTCCTAAACTGTGAAGTCTGTTAATCAGTCCATTAGTCTGTTAAACTAAGTAATAAACTTGACAGCATTGAGAATCATATCTTTTCATTGTAAGTCTGTATGAGGTTTGGAATTATTTTTTTATCCTTTGAGTGTTTTCTTCCTTTCTGCAAAGGTGAACCAAGATAGTTTATTGCAGTTTCTTGCAAATGTCTTGTTTCTTTACAATGTTTGCTCTGGTCAGTAATCAGCACTATCAGTGGTGTAATAGCATCTACCACCTTATTCAATAGTTTCATTAATAAACATAGCATTTTATTTCCTCTTCTTGTAGTGACTGTCACATCACGTCCTGATTGCTACTGGGGGCGCAACTGTCGAACTCAGGTCAAAGCACATCATGCCATGTAAGTTATACAATTTATAAAATGTTTTTGTTTGTTTGTTTGTTTTTGGGCTTAAACAAAACCAAACCTTTGAGGTGCCAGAAGTAGCATGAGGAACATGGCTGTGGTATACACAGAAGTGGGTGAGCTTTAGGTTGTATTTTTTTTTTTTGGTTGGTTATTATGTAAAACATCTTTGAAATAGGCCCTTCATGCATGTCCTAAGGGCACCTCTAGCACTTTTAAGTTGTTGTAACCTGTCACTAATGCTTCTTAAGTCCTGTTTTCCACTCCCAAGTCCCCTTTGATGCATATCTCTTCCCCCAGTCAAGCAGCTTTTTATTTGCTCATATCTGGAATATTTCTTGGAAACGCTATAAACAATACTTAGCCCTTTCGGATCTATGAGAAATACTCCTGTAGTGAGCTGCAGCAAACCCTGAAGGCATAAATTGGTGGGAATATTTTACAACAAGAAAAGCAAGAAAAGTTTGGAATGTGTGACGTTAGAAACCTGTTGTAGCTTACCAGGTCAGGTCTTTGAAGGAGTTCAATATATTTTACTCCTCTGACTCAAGCAACCTGTCACATGGTAAAAATGAAATACTGAGCCTGAAAAAAGGGTAGTGCTCTATTTCTCAAGTGTTTTAGTACATCTATGGGATGTAGACTCCTGGTTATTCATGTGAAACATCCATCCAAATTAAGGTCCTTGATCTAAAAAAAATAAATAAAAACTCAAGGCCACTGATAACCAATGCAATGCCTTTCTTACAAAAAGAGGCATGAAGAGGATGTATGTCAAGACAAATATTAAAGAATTTTAAAAAACAAAACAAAAATTGTCCACCGAAGAGCTAACTCCCTCCAGGGAAGGTTAAAAAAATCCTTCTTGCTATATTCTCTAAATTCTCAGTGTGGTTCAAGACAGAAGAGCTGTTATCCCTTATTGAGAAACTGCATTTAATGAACAGTAGATTTTGCAGCATCTTTCTAATGCTGCAGTGAACATGCACACTTAGCATAATTCCTTTAATATTTCAGGTACTGTGGGTTGAAAATAACCAGTCTTTACAGCTTATTACAGATCATAAGAAAGACTTTTAAAATATTCATCCCCAGTCATTTACAAATTCAGAGGGTTTTACCAAATACCTTTCAAAAATAACTTGGAATTTAAGTTGCAGATTTAATTCAGAAGCACCACTGTTACCTGCAACTTCACGTTATAGGACTGTGTATGTTCACACAGGAAATACTGTTTTGAAATGTTAGTGTTAATTCAGTAGTAAAGCACTTACTAGTTGTGTGCATTTGCATTTTGGTGGATAACTCCATCTAAAATGGAAATGACTGATTTTTTTTTTTCCTTCTTTTCTTTCAATCATTACCAGTTTCTAAAACTTCACCAGCCGCTGCTGTTAGTTTTTAAAATCCATAAACGCAAACAAACCTGTTATACTGTTCCTAGATATCCAGTCGTGCTTTTGTTATTGAGCTAAATAGTTCAGCTAAGTAGTTTGGTTATGTAAGCAAGGTTTCTTTCTAATCTTTAATATGATTCGATAAGAGGGAAAAAATTCATGGTCTCATTTGCATTATCTCTTCCACACGTCTATATACACACTCAGCACCCCAACTCATGTTTCGCTTTGTGTCAGGATACACATAACCCAAAGAAGAGAGAAACAGAATGAATAGTGAGAGGTTTCTGAGAATTAGAAAGGAGTGCCTTGTATAGAACTTTGTGTGATCTATTTAGAGCAGGCAGACAGGCTTGCCATTCCCATGGAACCTAAATAATATAGAATGAGAAAAACGTTACTTGTATTTTATCACCAGAAGAAAACTGTAAGCCAGCAAACGAACTTGTTTGTGCTCAAATGTATTATTAGACTGCTTAATACTAGTTCCCAGTGAGTTGTGTAATACTGTCTACTAAAAATAACCCATGTCTCTCAGGACAAAATTAATTCTCTTGATTCCTGTTTTAATTGCCTTCTGGATTTGAAGTATGCAGAAGTATAGAGGAAGGCTTTTAATAACAGGTTTTCTGTATGCATAATAAAACTATCAAGTGTTAGGCAGGAGAGATGCTGAAAATCCTGTTACAGTTAACATGTTAGTAGGATTTCTAAACAGGTTCTGAAAAACACTGTTAGTGTGTAAATGTTCTGTTTTAAACGTTTAAAATACCTTGTGAAAGATGCTGACTCTTGTGTTGCTTGACTTCTGAGAACTGTGTTGCATTTTAATACTTCCTTCTTTTTTTTGTTTCAGGAAATTCAATCACATTTGTGAACAAACACGATTCAAGAATTGAATACTTGTAGTCTGTAGAGAGGGGACAAAAACTTGTTTTACTGCTTGTACAGTTTAAGGTTTCAGGGGATCTTCTCAGTTCTCCCAGTAGCAGGGAATCAATAACTTTTGCATCAGGTAATCTGGTGTGAACTTTTTAATTTGTAGAATTTTACAGCTGAATATGAATAAGGTAGGTTTTTTCCAAGAAAGTCAGCAAGCATTGCATTCCATCCTCATGACTACAGTGTCCCTGTATCACTTCAGTGAAGAACACATACAGAAATCACACACAAAAACCAGCCATATCTTGGGAAGACCTAAGAATAAGGAGTGTATTTGCACTACTTGTGAAGAAACTAAGTAAAATCCTTAGACTTAAAATAGAAATGTTTTGTATAAGTATCTGATGATTATTTCAAGAGCCATTAATATTTAAAAAGGAAATTGTCAGTGTATATTTGTAACTGCATTTTGCGGTAGTCTGATATTTTGTCACTACCCTTTGCATTTGGGCTAGAAATACATTAATCTTCACTTAAAAAGAAATTCCGTCCATTAAACAGCTGTTTCAGCTTAAAGCTTCTACCATATGTGCAGTGTTATAGTGGAAGAAGTACAGTTTCTTTTCTTAGTTTTGTCGTGTTGATGGTTTTTATTCACGTTAAATTACAAAAATAATTGCACAAAAAAATTGAAAATCACATTTAAAGTTGGGGTAATACTTGAAGCAAAACAGACTTCTGCTAATATTACTTCTGTAGTATTTTATATCAGAAAACCAAACCGTGCTTTTGACATAGAACAGCAGCCAGTAGGACACTGGTTCATTTTTTTGTATTTCTTTTTTGGTTTGATATTGTATGCTGAGTATGTACCTCTGCCATGCAGCTGTTCTCTAGCATGCATACACTGGTAAAAAAAAAAAAATGTAGAAAAAGCTGTAATTTAAAACTGAATATAGCGGCTTTACTGGAAAGAACAATCTTACAGAAAATAATTACTTGGAGAAATTGTAGCAATATGGAGGCATTTCTGTAGGGATAGGGATGATGAAGGGGAACACTGGTGTTGCTGACATAAATAACATAGATCTTATTTTCATGCCTTTTGCAGAGTTCATTCAGGAAATGTCCCACGCATCATTTAAAAAAAAAAAAAATCCACCACCACCCCTCCCTGCTCCCCCAAATGATTTGATCTGAACTGTTTCATAATAATTTCGTAGTTAATGTTCACAAAGCTCAACTGGGACCAATTTCTCTTTTTCATCATACTTAGAAGAGTGAAACAGAATGAGAAGAAAGCATACAAAGTTACCTCTGTAGATACCATGTTGTTTTTAAGTATGCCTTACTTGTGAGTAGGATTTATACTGCAATGTTAAAAAGTGTACACACTATCTTGCGATGTAATGGAGCACAAATGATGCAGCACATCACGTCTACTGGTGTCAGTGAATTAGAAAACAAAAACTATTTCCAGTAATGCACATCTTAATATGAATGCTAATTAAAATTATGCATTTATGTTTAGATTTTTATTTTTTAAAATAGCTGCCGCAAGGCTGGGTCTGCTGACCATGTCCGTATGCTATTAAAAATACACTTTGGAGTGGACTTCTCTTCCTAGTCTCTGGGCATTTTCTCCTATGAGTAGGATTGAAATTGGATCTGGAATAATACTTGAAACTTCTTTTAACAACAACAGTGTGTTTCTGTCTTTTAGTATTATTAACAATGTTCTGTTGCTTCTGTATTTGTACTTTATGTTTAGATTTTTTTAATGGTTATTGTATCTTCTCAGGACAACCATTCCCAGCTGTTTTTGATCTCATTTTTCATCTCTGGCTGTGCATGTAGCAAAATGAGTGCAGTTGTAGAGATCAAGCCTTTGCACATTATATGCAGAAATGTGCTTTGCATTCTCATTCACCACTTCCCACACCCCAGATGGGCTTTCAGCATAGACTTGTCACTGTGCTAGTGTTCAAGCCTCTTGTGCTGAATTTTTTTGGTCAAAAGTAGTATCTACAGTACTATGTACAACCTCACTTGCACTTGCTGAAGTTATGTTTGTGTAGGGATATATTATGTGACAAAAAAAAAATCTGGAAAAAAAAAGTGGAACTTAGGTACTTAACATCTAAACTACCTGTGCAGTAGAGGTTCTTCAAATTCCTTTTAAAAAACCCTTTTCCCTGTTATAGGTAATTGATCTGCCTTTCTATGCATATAGGGTTGCAGTAGTGCAATGGAATGAAGGGATTTTTTTTTTTTTTTTTGTCATTTGTATTGTACCAGGAAGAGATGAGAAATTAACTTGCAGATGGGGAGGGTGAATACATCCTGATCTTTATATGCTCTTAAGTAAGTAAGAGTATCTGTCATGGGTATTACATACTCTATACATTAGACCTTTTTAAATGTATGGTTACCAGGTGATAGTTAATGTGATAAATGTATGAACTATGCTTGGTGTAATGGTTTCAATACTGTAAAGGTGCAGCATATTTTTTAACCTGTCTAAAGCACACCCCCACCTCCTTTATAAGAGATATTTGGAAGGTGAGCATGAAATGTAGTAGAATAGATGTTGTGAAAACCAGGGTGATTATGATAGAGTTTGACATAGTGGTAAATAAGGTACATAGTCTCTTTGAGAAAGTTCTTTTATAAAGAAGGTGGAGTGTAGTTCTTCCAGTTCTCTTTTGTGATTTATTTTTTTTTCCTGAACTAAGAAGTTATTAATTAAAAACAAAAATGTTCACTGAAGTCGTCTGTTTCTGTTTCTTCTGTGGCATATTCTTTCACCACAGAAATGGATGTGTGTGACATTTTCTCAGGACTGGTCAAGCTGTCAATGATTTGAATGTTGAGATTTTACAATGAAGCATCTTCCTTGAACTTGTAGTAACTGAAAATGACATGAGTTTTTTTTGTCAATCAAAGAAACTCAATCTGACACTTGAAAGTTTATACCACAAGGGATCATTAGCAGATCTACAGGATTCGTAGCAAATGATGTAAGTTTAAAAAGTTACATGTTTGCAAACAAGGTGACTTCAAGATGCTAGTAAGGAAAAAAAGTTCACTTTTTAAAAAAGTGCATACAACTTAAATATCTTGCTACACTGTAGAGACTGACATGGCAAGCATTATAACACTACCGACGTTAACAGCAGACCAGAGAAAATGAATGTCATACTGTGCTAATCTTTATACCTTTGGGATTTTCAGTGATCTAATTCATATAAATGATAAGATTTCAAGTGGCTGCTATTAGTGGGACTTTTTAAAATAGAACTGTTTCCCTGCTGAGGAAATAGAAAGACGTGTCTGCAGTTCTTTCTGCATGATGCTACAGACAGTGAGGCCAGAATAGTTGAACTTCAAGTTGCAGCTTAGCATTCTAGGATTCTTTGCGCTGCTGTTGTTCCCACACTTGAAGCTAGGTGTCTTTAACTTGTTGTAGCCTATCTGTACAGCTGTTCTTAACCCAAGTGTCGGTTGTTCTTCAGACTAAGTTTAAAAGAGGCTCAAACTCATGGTTAAGTAATAGAAGAGTGAAAATGCTACGTTGTTCTGTATGTTTTAAAGACAAACTGATAGACCTGAAGTCTTTTAATGGTTTTCATTTGTCCTGTACTTATATTTGTGGTTTTAAGTATTTTATGCTCCATTATAGCACCAAATGACCTGTAACTAATTTAGTTTAAGAGGATGCTGTTGATTTTTAGATGTAATGCCCTGCCAAGTGATCGGTGTTGGCACAACATAAGCACTTCATAGCTCTTCCTCCATAAAGAAAAGGGTATCAAGCTTATGAGAAAAAACACGGCCTTTTGCAACTGCAATACATGTAGCTGACAAAATACTAATCTCAACAGTTGGTTTTAATCTGAGAGTCCTCAGTATCTTAAGTATCAGCAACTCTGTAGGATAATTTGTGTTTAAGCTCTGTACTGTTTTCTTTGAAATTAATAGAAGCTTGGTATTGAAGGTCAAGCATTAGCTCATTCATTTCACCAAAAAAAAAAAAAAAAAACATCCATTTTATCTCAATTTCTAATCTTTGGTAGAATTGTGTAGTGCAGATGGCTTAGCCTACAGCAAGAGCTTAGGGAAGTAAGTGATTCAAGTACAAGGAGTTAGGCGGTTGAGAATGCTCCATTCTAAATTATGCTCTGATTTTTTTTTTTATGGTCTCTTACAAAATTCTGCTGGAAGGGGGCCTTATTTTGTACAGTCTGCCCTCTAAAAATAAACCAACAGTCTCCGTGTTACTGGAAGCTAGGAAAAAGATCTTTTGGTTTTAAAAGGAATGTGTGGGGATTTTGCATTTTTTCCACCTATTTTATCTAACATTCTTTCTGCATGATGTTTGGGAGCTGAAATACCACTTACACAATTCCAAGGAATAAGTTCTGAAGAAAACTAATTATACTATTTCCCATAGCAATGCTTAATATGCAAAGATTGCTACTAAATCTGCTTTTCAGGTCATCCTTCTTTTCTTCACACTTCACCATTTTGACTTTCAATGAGGTAATTTCACCCTTAAGCTCATTAGTTTCCATAGGAAATGAATTATAAAAAATGCTAAGTGTGCCATATGAGGTTTAACATCAAAGACATTTCTAGACACACCATGAATATATGTTGAAGCTAGATTTGGTCTCTGTTGGGTATTCTTTTCAGTCCTGCTGAGTTTCAGTTGCTCGCTTTCGTTAGGTAAGTGTTGGCTTAGGACTTATCTTTTTCCTTGCAATCCAAATTAATCTTCAATTGTGTAGAATAAGATCTAGTAGCTGACTGCTTGGAATAGTTGAACCCAATGTGTTTAGTTATGACTCATGCGCCCTTCTTGTGGAGGGGGGCGGAAACAAACTACAATTAAGAGTAGGATGTTTTATAACCAACTGCTCTTAAAGAAAAGGTAGGTTCCTGAAAGGAAACTTCAGCTCATATTTCTGCTAACAAGTTATAAATTAATCTTTATTTCCACTGCCACCACACCCCAAACTACATAGTGACAGTAGCTTAGGTACTACTTAAACCAGCCACAGTGCTCTGCTGAACGTTAGTCTGTATCCTGGAGGTTAGGATGCATGAGCTGCATGGTTAATCTTTCAGTTCTTCCCACTGAGCCTCTGTTCTCAACCATTTTAACTGCCTGACAGCAAAAAAAAAATCAACACCTGGCACACAGGATTCTTGTCAGCTTGTATAGCTTCAAGCTTTTATTTTGAATCTCTATTTCCAACAATCCAAAAAAAACAAAGCGGGGGGGGGGGGGGGGGAATGCCCACAGTTCTGGTTCAGGGGGAGGAGTTGTTTTGTTTTCATTGCTTGTTTATTTTAATGTTCTATTCAATCTACATAACACACTGGCTGGAGGGAGTGCCCAGCATGTTACAGAGGTTCTTTTTTTTTTTTAAGTGTACATTATTCAAATCCAATTTTAGTGGGGGGAGGGAAAAAAACTTTTTGTTAGATCTATAACATTTTAAGACATAATTTCATTCACAATTGAACAGGAAAATTTTTCTTCCTCTTCAGCAAGTGTTTAGCATGCTTATCCCATTTGCTGCTTAGTTACAGTATGCAAAATAGCACAGTAAAATGACTGCGTTACCACAAAGGTAAAACTGCATCTCAGGTCCACAAGCTGTGAGGTTTTTTATCATTAAAAAGTTGCAGAATATCTCTCAAAAGTAATAGAGCCATTAAGAGGAAACTAAGTGGCACAGTAACATTTCTGTTTAAGAACTAATCCTGGTCAATATTTACAGCTCTAAAGCACTGAAGCATTAAAGCACTTTATTCCACCCAGAGCTGGGGGGAGGAGGTGTGGTGGGGAGAACTTCAAAATAGTTCCTCTTTGCTCTATGAGGAGGAAAATCTATTTCCTGTTCTTTGAAGGTACGAAATGCAAGTACCTCTTTAGCAGTGCATTTTGGTGATCTGCCTAAAAATAATAGGAACTTCAAAAGGCAGGTCAAGAATTTAAGCATAAGTCTCCCATATGCTGTGCTCCTGGCTGATCAGGGTTGACCGGGAGGGAGGGAGGGGGTGGTCTTCTGTGCATCTGCAGCGGGTGCTGGTTTGGCATTAGGCTTTGCTATCTTTCAGGGGTGTAAGGTCCCATCTTTGTATAGTGTAGGATGTCTGCCACCCCTGTTCTGAGAACAAGCAGCGTTGTTCAATAGTGCGTATTGTTCAAGAGGAGAGCCTTTGGTTCCAAAGGTAGGTAGTAAAGAAAGTCCATGTAAACAACCCCTTGTTACCTACCTGAGTTACTGAGGAGGAACCAGGATCTAAACCTTTAGTGTTGGACTGAGGGATGCAGCGGTTTTTGTGCTCATTTCATTGCAGCAACTGCTGCAGTTGGGCTGCTGTATTGGTGTACATCATGAGATGGCCTGGTACTCTGGGGCAAGGCATATACAACTTAGTATTTCAGCAAAATAAACTGTGTCATTACATTGCAGAAATGAATAGTTAAACACTCTTTTATTGAAAAAGTCACTTTTCCCAGCCCTTCACATGTAGGTGCTGTCAGTAACTGAACACAAATACTTTTCCAAAGTAGATTTTAGTAATTCAATCTCCAGAAATATAATAAGAAATGTAGCATTGGCTCTGATTTACAATGTGTATGAATTTAACATTGTGGAAGTTATTAGAGTACTGTAGATGTTTAAATATTTTCTTGTCATAAATATATTAACTCTTCCCTTTGATTCATGTAACATTAATTTAGAAGAAAAAAAAACAACAAAACAAAAACAAAACTTGGAGCCAGACTCTTGTGCTTCAAAACTACTCAACACAGTCTGGTAATAATAAATGCTGACATCTGTCTGCTGTTCATTTTTGAGTCAACTGCTGAAGGGCATATATGGTTTTTGCTTCCACTGCTACAAGATGCAAGCCTTTTATGTCTACACAGACATGTACACAAAATATTAGGCAAAACCTACAATCTTGTGTTGCATATCTCAGACATTAACAGGTGGCAAATGGAAGCTGTAATAGCAGGTGAAATCATAAATAATTCAGTTAAATATCCCAGGAATCAAACTTAAATGCCTTCACATAGAAGGATTAAGATAACTCGATGCACAGTGTAGCTAATATAGGAGAAGACTTGTATGGGAGATTTCATTCTGGCACCTGTTTTATGACTTACTGTTGCCTTAAAACAGTGTCCTGCGTCAGCTGCAAAATACAGGAATCCCCTTTATAGGGATTTTTATTTATTTATTTAAGAAAGTAAAAATAATTTAAGTTGCAAAATACAGCTTTGTAGAGGTTTCTTTCATTTAAGAAAGAAAGATAATTCTAAGTTGAGAGTTGAATGTTCAGGATTTTCTTGAAAAGACAGAAATATCACCAGGAGGCATTAAAATAACGATTGGGTTATTAAAGGTAATAGGACAAGCAGGCTTCCCTTTGGTTCAGTGCTCTACTGAATGCTCTGAATTTGTGATTGGGGGGCACAGCTACTTACTAGTTCATTTTTAAAGAAAATGAGCACTCAAAGTTTGCCACACTTAATTTTGTCTTTTAAGTCTTGCCTGCTAAAGGAAGGGAAATAGTTTCTCTAGTCAATGTGCGTTACCAGTAATAAATAGCTGGTGGATATAGGATCAGAGCAGCTGCAAATATCCAAGTGTTGGGTACTGAAGGCTATTCCAAGCGAGTATTTCAGTGTTTTTGTACACATGCTCCTGTTGCCACGAGGAGTCACCTTAAAACATAGTGGACTGAAGTGTTTAAGCCTATGTAGATCTAACAAAAATAAAGCTAGTCAGACTTTCGTAGCTTGTCTGCACTCTAAAGAGTTAGGATATGAGATACTCATGGTCTTTAATATTAGAAATGCTAATGCTTGGTAAACTTAGAGCTAGAGTGCAGAAGTTATGAAATGTTTAAAATTGTTTACAAAACAGTATGCAGACATGCATGATTGAATTCTTACCCTTGGCTTGGCAAGGCTTGAATTGTACGGGCATACCTACGAGCAGAATTTAACTCATAGCTTCTAACAGAAAGACTCAAGTGGTACCACAGTGACAGAGGACTGATTTACATTTTAGATATAAACCATGATGTAACTGTCTCAGATGACTTTCATGTCTCATTCCAGAAAAGATTTTCTGCAGTGTGAAATACCTTTTCAGAGAATACTTCCTTGAATAAAACACATCAAAATTCCATGCAGAAAAATACGTTTGTTAATGAGCAAAAGGGAAGATGGCATTTGTGCTGTGGTGTGGTACATATAGCCATAATCCCAAAGCCAACGGGTGGGAAGCAGAGACTACTCTTACAAAAGTCGTGTCCACGTATGGCTGCCATGCTTGGCACCACTTCCATTCAGATCATGTGCCTGCTGCCTCTGTTTTTGTGAACTGATGGTTCAGTCTTTCTGAGAGCATCATTGGACTGAGGCTTCACATACTGGAGGAGCAGCTAGGGTATCAAAGTTCTGTGAGGTCGCACTAGTATTAGCATCTACTGCTGACAAGCTCTGCTGGTCCCTGGAAGAGTTAGGGGCCTTCACCTGACCTTTGTATAAACCGGGAGACTTTGCCCAAAATGGAAGATTTGACATGAACGTGGCAGAACTGTTGCCCTCAGCAGTCAGAACCACGGGCTGTTTGTCTGGCACAGCTGGTGCATACACAGCATTTTGCTCAGAGAGATGATCTCCGCATTGGTTAAGATGTTCTGCTAAGACCAGAGGCTGCTGATCATCTCCTTCTTCAGAAATAACAAAAACTGGTTTGTTTTTATCTGTTTCTATCACAAGCTCTTTTGTTTTTGAACCATTGACCAAGTTGATTTTCAGGGCGTTGGAGCTCTCTAGAGTATTTGGGGGGCTTTGGCTGTTAACTGGCGATACTGCCCCTAGATGTCTTGAGGGATCCAAGGACCTCACACGTTTGCTGTCAGGGGAACCAGCTAAAAATCCAAAGTAAGGGTTCCCAAACCTGGATTTCTTCAAGTTGCAGGAGCTTAGCTTCCGCTGCCTTTGTGCAGACAGAGTGAGGGGGTATGAGGCATTGCTGGCAGATGAATCAGAGTAAACTGTCTCTGAAGCTCCTTCTATCTCAGTGGCAGAAATCACCTTTCTGGTCGGAACACCTTGGGTTCTTGCAGCTGTAGGAAAAGCCTGTACAAAATAATAATAAATTAGTAGACATGCTTTGAAAAGAAACTCTTAAGAAACATTAATCCCAAGGGCACTAAAAATAAAAATTCCTTCTTAAGATAGAGGTAATATGCTTTCTTTTGCAAAAACGTATGTTATTACCCTAAAAAAAAGGAATATCCTCTGTTAACTTTGTAACAAGTGCTGTTTGCTGATAACCATCAGTGAGACCTACATATCCCTCCCACACCTATAGCCTTCTTGTTATGCAATAGTAATATGTCAAAATTAATTTAAAGTATAACCATGAAAAAGGGAATATGTCGGAAAATTCAATGAATGCAGATTTTTAGCACTTCAGGAAAGCTTGAATAAATTACAATATGGTTAGGCAAAAGAGTTTCCCATGCACCAAGCAAGATGGGCTGAAAAGTGTGTTGCGTTTACAGGTTGGAGAGGCAAAGCAGTAAGGCCAGGAGAAAATGTGGCCCACCAGCAAGCAGATAGGGCACAAAAGCTGACCACCCCATACTCCTCTCCTAGCAAGACTTACACTGTTGTCAACCAGCTTTGTGAAGGGACTATTGGTGGTCCAGCTACACCATTTTTTCTGTAACTGTGGTAATGGAGCCAGGAAATCATGGAAAGTGCGGGCACTCCACGTGCGTTGTCTGGGGTAATGATTTTCCATCTGAATGTTTCCCTTCTCAACCGTGTCTGCTCCTGTAGCCATTGGATTAGAAGTCAGCCAGTCAGATACAGAGGCTGGGCTTGTGACACTTCTTTTTAGGTTTTTGTCCTGAAAATAGTAAGTAAAGATCATTTACAAAACCTGTTGTCAAAAGGTTTTAAAAACACTTTAAAAATAGGCCTTTAGTGCAAGTGAGTGATTTCTTCAGTGGCTCTTTTCCCAGGACAAGACACAGGAATACAATTTCTGTTCATTTCTCTTCCAGCATGCTGTGTGGGATTCACTGGCTTACTGGACAGCAGTTTTACTTTGTTTCTTCAGTTTCAGGTTTTACACTGAACTGTGAAATTTCAGTCATATAAGAAACAAAATCCTACCACTAACTGCATATATCAAATACCTAAAGCTTCATTACACCGAAGATATCTGACAGATTACAGTACTAAACTTCACAGTGCAAAACATAATTCTTCCACTCTGCTAGGCTCTTGGTAGGCTCCAGATGTGTTTTGTCAAACAGAACTCCAAGGGGGGGATGAGGCCCACTGGAAGAAATCCAGAAGAAAGCAACAAGAGACTCAGAATGTCTAAAAAATGCATGATTCAGGAGGAAAGACTAAATTAAGTGGTGCTCTTCAGTCTGAGTTAGGGAAGAATTAAGAGAATACAAAGAATTAAAACAAAGAGAAAGGCAGTAATCTGTTCTCAATGTCTGTGGTGAGTGGAACAAGAGACATAAGGCCCAGAGTAGAGCCAATTTCACATAAGAAATGTTTTTTCAGGTGGAAAACAGGTTTTAGCAGGAGAATAAGAAAGATGTCTAGACAGGTGTAAAATTGGCATCATCAGGAGCTGAGCACATGAAATCATTCTCACCAACTCTGCATATGAGCAGAATTGCTCTGTTGAATTGACCTGTTGCTCATAGAAGCCTCCTGTTCCACAACTCTATATGTATTTTTAATTTTCAGCTGTGTTAATATGACTGTCATGAGAAGAATGCGACATTCACATTCCCAGAGTTTATGAAGTCCTTAAAGAGGCTCTGAAATAAATCCCACCATGTCCTGGATTTAAAAGTCCTGAGAGACCAAAAGCTTGTCATTTGTTGTTTCTGATAAACAGAATCTCCTAAGTTTCTACAAATCAAAGAAACTATTCAGTTACAATGTCATATTGGAAAAGGATGGGCAGAGACAAGGAATGAGCTTCTCTGTAGGAAGCTGGCAGAGGGTGTATTCAGGCTCTGGATAAATTTGTTTCAATATTGAGCTCTTAGTCTCAGATTTGATTAAAGTAAGAAACTTTATTTATACATTTATAATCCAGCTGTCTTCTACTCAGAAGCCTTTTCAGGCTGTCTAAGGGTTTATTATTTTGATGGTTTTGAGACAGATGTACTGGGAGCAACTGTCGAGATGAATAATGTATTTTCTAGATTTCTGAAAATCTTTTAGGAAAAAAAAATGTGATTCTTAAACATCCATGTAAAGACTGTTAGTCTTTACTCAAACCTGTTCATCTGGAACTTGTCTGAATAGAAGTAACAGGTCATAGGTGTAAATCAGCCTAAGGCTGAGTGATGACTTAAACCAAAAAGGACTTAGAAATCCATGACCCTCCTGGAGACACCGTGTTCCTCAGAAGCCACCTGAAAGACACTGGTTCCTCTTGCATCATCAGCCCTGCCCTCCATTTCCTCACAGTAGTCCCCAAAACAGAGAGGTGTGGTTGTTGTCTCAGGTGTTACCTTCTGACAGGAGACTGATTTCATCAAATGGATTTTAAAAGCTAAAAAGCAAAAGCCCATTTATGACTGGTGCCTGCCTAGCAAAGCTGAGGATCACTCTTACTGAAAGGCATAAAATCAAGAGGCCACCATTCCTCAGTAAAAAGATTTGGACTTTTTTTTTGTTTAAATTAAAAGTCTTTGCCGTTTGCTTTGTCTAGATGAGCATTCTGGGTGAGATGAATCTGAAGACATTATTTACTGTGCTGTACAGGCTCAGCATTTCACTGGTCTTTTCACATGCAGCCCTGCCAAGAGAGCAGCTAGGCCCCAGCAGGTAACTCATGGAGTTACACAGCCCTCAAACACTGTGTACCTACCCTCTGCAGGGCTCAAAGACAAAAATCAGAAGCTGGATGGCCAGATTCATCATACACCTTAGAATACACACCTAGAAATGTAACTATGAACATAAATCATCTTTATGTCTAACATTTAGTAACCTAAGTAGACTTAAGATAACACTTAAGTGCAGGTGTGCAAATCATCTGCTGGGCTCAATTTCCACCCCAATTAGAGAGGATAGTTTTCAGCTGTGCTGAAAAAGCCAGTGCTTTTTTAAAGGTGGCATTCACTCTCCTTGATTTTTTTTTGTTTGTTTGTGTTTTGATCCTCTGGAGCTTTGGTTGAGAGCGCTGTAAAAAACGGGTATCACTGAGAAGGAGCAACATCCTGAGATAATATTGTGGTAAATCAATTTAATTCTGTGCATTATGTTCAGTTAGAGTTGCTGTAACACTATATTACATGTGTGTATATAGACATACATCCTCCTCTGGCTCGCTCGTAGAAGGCATGGTATAAAAGAAATGTTTTGCTGTAAGTGTGCTCTTCATCGTGACTAAAGCAGGGGAAAGAGGAAGGGAAATGGGTTTCCTCTCTGTCTAGAAGCTGTATTTGTAAGTGGCTGCCACCAGGTGAAGCTCTCTCCACTGGAAAGAAGGAGCAAGGAGTGCTGGGGTTCAAGGGTGTCTCGGGTGCCAATACAGTTCATGTGCCCTGCTCCTCAGAAGGTAATGTACTTGGGCAAGGGAAGGCACTGGATTATTTTTTTTTTTTCCTTTTTTTGTGTGTGTGTGTTAATCAGCATGGTTGGCTGGAGGGGAAGCTTTACTGTATGACTTGCACTGATGTAGGAAAATTCTGACCAGCCTGACCCCCTGGATGACATACTAATCAAGTGTGGGGATACTGGCTGCTTTTGTTCCATAAACTGTGACAGTATTGTATGGACTGGTCCTACAGCCTGCTGGCAGACCATTGCATTGTCACCTATAAGATCCAATGTAGACTTCTGAATTTGATCCTATCTAAGCTGGGAAGATTCTGGCTTTTGAGGGATCACAGCCCACGTAAGTTCAAAGCAGCTCAGTCTGATGGTCAGGAGTACTGCCTGGTTAGATCACTACCATTCCTGCAAGCTAGGCAGGAACTGTTAAGTGAAGGAACATGACAAATGCTTTTCAAGAAGGACATCCTGTGGCTTGCTGGGCTTCTAGAGATGCCCAAGAGCATTCCTACCTGTATTCTGTAGGTGGTAAAGCTCAGCCCACTGGCTCCAGGTCCAGCAGAAATAATAAACACTTCATCGCTTCCTGTCTCAGTAGTCACTGCGGAGGTGGAAGAGGGCACATCTGGGTCAGTATCCTGAGGAGACCGTTCTATGCTGCCTTCACAGGAAGTGACTGAGGAAAAGAAAATCCATAAAGACTGCTTGGGAGAGTCCAAAACATCTGTTCCCAACTCATCCATTATAATCCCTCTTCCCCCACCTTTCCCTCTCCCCAGAGAAACTAGACCCACATCTGCCTGTTGCACCAGTCAGAATAAAATACAAGCCAAGAGTTTGCTCTCCTGAAACTGCAAGCCTTTAAAAACAAAACAAAAGGTGGTGGGTGAGGGGAAGAAAGAAACACCCTTGGGTCTGCTGTCTAATAAAGCCAGACCCAAACTGAAATCCCTCATACTAAACGCATAAGCTTTTTCTGCAGATCAGAAACTTGAAGAGTTTCTTAACTCATTCTTTATTTGTTGTTACTCATTGCTATTAATAGTGAGCTTTGATTTTGTTACAAGTGCTTACAAATCCTTTTTGCTTGAGCCGTGGTGATGCTGCTCCCTCAGGCAGCTGTACGTTCCAGCCATTGCCATAGGTGTATGTGCGTGTTTGCATCCCCAAGGTCTGTACTTTAGGTCCAGGCCCGGAGAGCTCTGGCTTCTGGCCATAACCTTCTTAATGACTTTTGGCAGAACAGAATTAGCTTTTTAGGAAGGTATCCATATGAGAGCTGTGTATAAAAGTTGATGGTTTAGTGGGAAACTGATGGTGTGTGGCAGTGCACCGTGAAGTGGCTCCTTGTTGGCCTTTGACCAAAAGGTTTGCTGACAGGATTAATGTGTTGTGACTCAAGATTTCAACAAGTGACAATATCTGCAGCTTGGCTGGAGGACTCCCTGTTCTTGTTCTGGAAACACACTGTGAGGTAAATATCGTTTAAAGCAGTCTCATCCATAATGCCCTGCAGAAAAATTTAGCTCCAGGAGTCCAAGTTGTTCAAAGCCAACGAAAGCACTGCAAAACTCATCCTTACCCAGACAAGGTTAGATGCAGGGCAGATGAGTCTTCCACAATTCGTGGATGATTATAAGCTCTGGTTGTAGCAGCCTGAAGCAGACAGATTAGTGTTGCTAACACAGTGTCCCTGCAATGCTCTGTGCTATGACAGCTTCTGCTGGCAGTGTCCTGGAGCTGTGCCTGTGTGTGCTCCTTGCCAGGAGAATTGCCCTACCAGTGAGGGGGAGAGAGCAGCAAGGGATATTCCCACAACAAAGCCTTTCTGCTGTGAAGTGGCTCTCCAGCTGTGCCTGGGCGAGACGGGGAGGAGGATGGCAAGGAAGGAATGGTCTGATTAGCAGGCCAAGGCCTACAGGGTGCCCTGACCCACCCCTGCCGGTGCGCCGCGCTTACCCGCCTGCTCCCGGCTGACAGAGTGGTTGTTGTTTTCATTCTCCCGACTTGGCACCACAAGCTGGAGCTCATTGATATCAACGGCGGAGTTCTGGATCCCATTCTACAACTCAGAACATGCCCCAGTAAACATCGTCAGATAAACAGTGCAACAGCCAATATGAAAGAGAGAAACAGAAATTGCTGAAGCCATTAGCACTAACCTCCTGGTCACTGCATGCGTTGGATGAGCTCCTTTTGGGGCACGTTCTCTGCCTGAAAAGGAGAGACAGCAACAACAACAAGAAGCCCACAAGTGAGTTAAACCCAGAGAAGGGAAGCTGTCAGCGGTGCTTGTCCTGCAAGGGTGGCCTAGCAGGTTACGAGCTGTCCGGCCTGCAGGAGCATCCAAAACACTCACCAAGGCTCAAGGCCTGTAGGCCAGGGTAAAAACTGATATGCTCGTGTAGTGGAAAGTCAGCTGAAGAAGAGAAGGATCTGTCTTCTTCCCATGATCACCACAAAACAGAGAGACGAACAGAGTTCAGATCTCTTTAAAGTCCTACTAGCCTTCCCCCCACAGGCTGTTCTTTCATGTCAGAAACTAAATCGCAGAACCGAAATCCTTCCTTTGGTCTGAGCAATGACATTGTTCTTATCCTGTTATACAGAGTATTTCATCTGTGTAGTCGGTATTGCATGCTGGATTATATTTAGCAAGCAGAGAACATCAAATGTTCATCTGTATGACCATTTTATTAATGGAAACTGCTATGGCAGATGGTTACCAGCTAAATATGCCTGTTGGGATGAGGGGAAACAAAATCATGTTCTTAACAATTTTTTTTTTTTTTAAAGTTTTACTAAATCTGACATTCTGAAACATCTAGTGTTATTTACATCTTACTCATCCAAAATGTAAACATGTCATGAAGAAAGGCTGAACATGATCATGACTGAAGCAAGTATATTTTATTTTGGTGTACGGCAGTTCTTCATGGGACAGTGCAGAAACACACAGCAGTGTTAATATATGATGTGACCTATGTTACTATTTTTCCCTACTAGCTATGCTGTTGGGTGGCATATTTCCTCTTGCTGGCTTCCATGCAAGGTTTGTGGTGGTGTCTTTTAAATGATGTGCTGAAGTCAAGATTGCAAGTTTTCAGGCATCATTTCATTATTGCTTCTCTCTAAGACCTGGGGGCTCAGACGACACCTGATGAGTCTGGCCAGGAGTCAGCGTGTGCTCCATCTCAGGCATAAGGTTTCATTCCTTCACCATATCATTGGAACTCTTAAAAAAAAGGCTTATTGAAAGTGAAACAATGGAGGGGGAGGGAAAAAAAAAAAAGTATGGTGTCCCCCCAGTACTATTCCTAATGAATATGGAGGAAACTACAGAAAGAGGAGAGCAAGTTTGCACTTCTGACTTTAATTCAGAAGGACTCCAGATGGATAGTTGTTACTCCAGGAAGCAAGATCACATCAGCTGCCACATGGGCTTTGCCACGGTATGCAGGGCTGCTTCAACTCAGTGGTTGGGGAGAGGGAGCAGCAAGAGATTTCTAAGAAGTGGTGTTTCCTAATTGGAGGATTAAGATCAAGCCAAGCAGGAAATGCTCTTGAGTAGAACATGCATATGTAAATATTCCCCCCACACATACACATGCACACACACACCAGAAGTTCTTATTAGCCAGCAGAACCACTTAAGCAGGCAGGATTGAGTAAAACATGACCCAAAATAATGAATTAGCGTAGTGGACAAGGCATCCAGATAGATAGCGTAAGAACTGTGCAATTTCCTGCTTTTTCCATATTACATTTATATTTTCTTCTCTTACCATATCCCTACTCTTTCCTGCCAAAGCCCATTTACTCAAATCTCAGAATCATAAATATTCTTGTTTCAAATAACCGATGTGTTACAAACATTTATTGAAATATTCCCACCTAAGGATTGAAGACCAAAAAGGGAATGTTCTCTTTTAAGAAAAATAAATAAATTAGCACACATTTCTTCCACACTGAACACCAGGCCTTGTCTACCAGACTTGTTGGTAAACTGGATGGTCTCACTTCTGAGTTTATTTGACCTCTTAATGTGACAGACAAGATACTCAAATCCTTGGAAACATGACTGGAAATGTGTTTCTCTGAGTCCTATATACAGATGTCCCACTTATAAGATATTCATATTCTCTGGGACAAAGCTAAAAAGATGAAATATCCATTATAAAAGTCTCAGCAGCTGATAGTTGATAAACTAGGATAAACAGTGCAAGTTTTGCACTAAGAAATGTCAATACCTTACACAGATCTGGTTCTTTTCCATTTTTTATAAATGTGTTTTACAATATTTAGCAGGCACCATAGCTATCTTGAAAGCCACACTGCAGTTTGGCAGAATGAACCAGAGGGACAGTAAGGTGTTGCCAGTTTTCCAGAAAATATCAGTTTTCTGTGCAAGGACAGTAGAAGAAGGAGAAGGAAGAGTCCTGTTCCTCCTGAGATTTCAACTAGGATAGTAAAGTGTAACTGGTTGAAATATCCCCTGTTTAACTTCTTCCCTTATCATGCTTTGGGTATTGAGTGTCTTATTTCCACCGAACAGTTTGATTTACTGTCAAGAACTAATGCACACCAAGGCTAAGGATTTCCAGATTTGGCCAACAAAAAGTTCTGGTGGAAACTTGAGATTTTTTCTTTCTATTCAGAGCTACAGCTAAAGTGCTTGGAGAGATGCTCTAATTCGCAGGACTTGGGCCCTTGGTCTTTCTTTACTTCTCTCTCCAGACGCACTGCACCTCCCATGGCATGCTGCAGTGCCTGGCCACCAAGTAGATCTGTGATTTAGATCAGTGCATAGCTCACACATATAAAATACCCAGTGTGCCATTTTCCATCACTTAAAATAAGGTGCATTTTTAAAAAAGTTGCTTAAACCTTCCCAAGTAAGGCAAAAATTTAAGTCTGTTGAAAGCTTTGTGAAAATTGCCCTGTGTTCCCTAGTAGGCAGTTCCTTCTATGTCTAGTTACATTTCTAACTAAACTAGCCTCTTGTAGAGAGACAGGAGCAGGGGACACAGCTACAAACAGGCAGGTAGGGGTCTCTGGGTTCTGCTTAGCATGAGAATGGCAGAGAAAAGCCCTGGTTTTAGCCCAGAAGTGACTAGGATCCTCTAGGAGGGTGTCATAGGAGGAAGAAGTTCCACCCCCAGGTGAAGATCAGGCTGCAGGCAGGGCAGCTTGCATGGAGTGAAATGGCAGCACATAACAACTTGATGAAATAGCTGTACGTGTAGACGGGTTGTAATTGGAAACAGGTCACTGGCAGGCTATGCAGATGTAATATGCAGTTACAATCCATGGATTGCAACCATTGAGCAAAAGTCTGGCTGCACTGGACAGGATTAAAATTAAATAAGGTGGATGTGTCTCTTGTTTTGGGGGCTTGGGAAAGAAAATAAAAAATACCCCATTGCTTGAGTCAGGCCTCATGGCCAAAAGTAATTAGAATTATTGGCCAACTAACAACTGAAGCTTTCATTTCCTCCCCAAACAGCAAACAAAAGCTGCAGTGTGGCAGAGACTTGGAGTTTCCCCAGAGAGCTTTGCCCTGGCTGAATGCAATGAGCCTGAGCAGACTCTGCTGACGACTTGGTGCATTGGACTGGCAGTAGGTGCCAAGCCTGGCCTGGGCCATTTCTAACCCTGGCAAAGCTAACCCCCTGCTACTTTTAGCTGAGCAAGAACAGCAGATAGAAATGGCAGAATCGCAGCTAAATGCCAATGTGGTACCAGAGGAGCAAGCAGAGCACGAAGAGAAGTGAAAGGCAAGTTTACAGGGCCAAGAGCTTGAGGGTCACTCTTGGCATCTCCTTTGCAATGGCATATTCCAGCCAGGGCCAGCATTGTCATGCCTCAGAGAGCTGGTCGCATTTCTGAATGTGCTGTGTTATTAAAGCATCTTCACTTCTTCCCTCACCCCACCCCTTGCAGTCTTGACATTTTTGGCAATGAGGACAAGCTATGGCTAAAACACTTCTGACACCTGATTTCAAGCCCCTACTTAGGGCAAGAAGCATAAAATAGAGCTTGGTGGTCTCAAACTAAAAGCAGGTTAGATGTGCTTAATGGTCTCTGCAGTCTTATTGTAAGCTTTGTTTAAAAAAAAAAAAAAAAAAAAAAAAACCTACACAGCTGGAAAGTGTAGGCGAGCTCCAACCAGTGCCAGTGGTGCTGGGGCCAGAGACAAATATCCTTAAAGCAGTTAGGGCAGGGAAGAGGGAAAAAGAATTTTCCAGTGCAGCCTAAGTGACGTGCTCGGCACAGGTCATGGCATTGTTTCCACACCACAGATCTCACAGGGTTTAAGTCTAGCAAGAAATAAAAGTATATTGTAATCAAGGCCTCCCTGAAATAGCGTGCAGGGAACATAGGCAGCTGGCATAGCAAAGAGCCTTTCAGAAGACTAAAGGACTAGGGATAGTTCTCTCTATATACAGCCAATATCTGACAGATATATTTTCCTTTTTTTTTTCTTGGCAAGATGTTCTCAGTGACCAGAACATATAACTTTTTTTTTTTTTTTTGGGAGGGGGGGTTGTATTAAGTTTTCTCTGTTGGTCAACTATAGAATATTACCATGTTTTGTAAATATCTGAGAAGCAAAAAGCCAAATTGTACACTACTGCCAGTGGAATCTCACATTGCTGGTGTACTTTGGTTTGAATAATACTCAGCTTCATGGATAGCTGCAGTGAAATTAAATAGGGAAAATGGAGCAAGAACAGCCTACTCGACATGTGTATTAGCAAGACTGCTGCCATAGCAAAGGCAGCATGTTTCTGCTGCTTTTGAAGTTTGGCAAGGGTATAAAAATGAAGTATTTAGTATCTGGAAGACATTTTCCACCAGACGTTTTCCTTTAGAGCTAGCAAAAAAAAAATTGTGGTCTAAATTAGTATTCTGCAAGCTCTTTAAAAAGGAAAAAGGTTAGTTAGATGTAACACATGCAAGTTTAACTCTTGCAACTATGAAAAACCCAGACCCTGAAAGCAGGAATTTCTATATACAGCAAGGGAGATTATATTTAAGCTCCACCACCTTGCCCACATTTTCTCATTCTCAGTACAGTGGTGGCCTATATTTTGTATTTATTCAGCACAGCTAGAAATGCAGCCTCCAAAAGGACAAGGAAAACAAATTACCTTTATCAAACCAACCTCAGCTACTAGGAGTTGCTGGGCCATCCTGAGAACTTTTGTGTTGGAGGATCCAAAACACTTTAGGTAGAGGATACAGGAAGAGGGGACAGACCAGTTGAATGCTGTCACTGTGAAACAAATGCTATTACTAATGCTCAGGCACTCCAGCAGAGCCCTACAAGGGGCAGTATTTGTTTCAGTTTGCCTGATGCTTCCATTGCAGTCAAAATATTTGAAAAATACTGTTTGTTTTGACAAAAACCTGGGGAGCTTGTGCTTTGCTTTGAATTTGTTGGAAGGAGGAACAAAAAAAAAAAAAAAAAAAAAAAAAAAAAGCAATGTTTTTACAGAAATGTTTTCACTAGAGTTAGTAAGAAAAATGCAAACGTGCTGGGGGGTGGAGAAGCTTTCTCCTGATAGATATATCAGGAGAAAACAAATAAAAACAACTGACTGCAGAGGAATGTTTTCATCACTGGCTGGTTTTAGCTGTTTAACTGGTTAGCATCAGGACCTGGAAACCAGCTGCCCAAGCTTCAGCTCACTTGGCCAAGTCATTCCAGATGACCTCTGTGGACAGGCACAGATACCACAGCACATTGTGTGGCTCTTCCCCTAGCAGTGACCGGGATGTGTAGGTGACTGCTTACCTCCTGAGGTGCATTAGAATTTCAAAGTCTGAGTCGCTTGAATAAAATTTGCTTCCAATTGGAAAATGCTAGTTAATGTAGGTAACCACATGTTAATTCCAAGTGGTAGTATTTTAGCTGCTATTTTCTTTTCTGCAAGGTGTTAATGTGCAGTGCTCAGCCTGCTTGGGATACTCAGGAAAAGGTGATCTCTCTGTTCTGCATTTGTCCCCAGTGCAGCCAGTGTTCCAAAACTGAGAAACAAGTTTCAAAAGCAAATAATGACCAAGGAAGTCCTCACTCTCCAGGTGTTTCTGCAGGAAAATAAAATAGATTGGAGGCAGTGGAGCTGTAGATCTGGGAAACAAAACTGTGGAGCATGTGGCAGGAATAGAATCTGACTTTGATTTCCTCTATAGCTACACACTACTGTACTTAAAGGACAGTAAGCATTAGAAGAGCAAAGGAAATGTATATTTGTTTTCTGGTCTTTCTCGTCATGCACAGATAATGTCACATGCTTCAAAGGCTCAGACATGCATCATCTTACCTGCAAGCTATGCAGAGGGCAGAGAGCAAAGCCAGTGCAAAGAAGACAGTCCCTGTTAAAACTGCCATCATCATCATGTTTTCGTTTCTTTCTTGCCTCACAGCGTCTACAGTGTTGGGTTCAGTGATGTTCTTGTATTCAAAGAGCATTGCAAAGCCTCGGCCCCGGTCAGTGGTGGTAATTAGCTCCATGATAACCTCAACCATTTCCAGAGATGAACCAAAGACCATGGTTTTGTTTAAAGGTGAATTTGGTCCACAGAAGCGAGAGGAAAATGTGATGAGATCAGAGACATACAATACATCGTGGGGACAGACATCCACTGCTGACTGTGGGCTGGAAGAGATTTCCACTGGCAGTACCGTTGTGGGGAGAGTCCAGCTCTCTCCCAAAACTTCATCTCTCTCACTAGCAGCTAGGCGGGCAAGCAAAGTTTTGCCTTTCAAATCTTCCTCTGTTTCTCGGTCACTGGTATTTTGTCTCTGCATCGTGGCACCACTCGCCACAGAGAATGGCAGTTCTTCTGTTTGGGTCTTGGTGATCGCTTTGGGTTTCTTCATCTGTTTAGACTGGTTTTCTTCAGATGCTTGTTTGGCTTCATCTTTCTTTGAGGCAGCTCCTGGAAATTGTTCCAGGTGACCAGAAAGTTCTTTTGACTGATCTCCTGTGCTGCTCAGATTCTGAGCCACTTTCGACATCCATGTCTGGAGAGAGGATTCAGTGGTATGGAGAGTGAAGTCCGGGTTTTCCTGAGGAGGGGATGTGTCCTTACTTTCCGTTACAGCAGGGGCTGAAAAACCATCCCAGGGGGGCGGAGTTTCGCTAGAGCTTTCAAAAATGTCAAAGTCAAAAATTTCCAAGATGAGATGGGTTCTCATGGGAATGAAAAATTGCCAAACACAGTGCGTCCCTGGGTAGTAGTTGTTTGGAAAACCTGGAGACAAAATCAGGCCTCTTTCCATTGATTCCACCACCGCACCACAGGAATAATATACCTGGGAAATTAAACAAATAAGCTTACATCTTGCCAGAGACAATATACAGGATGCAGCCTGCTAGACCTACTGAAGGTCCTATCCTTCCCCTTTAGCAACTGGTATAAGATAGCCTCAAGAAGTGGAAATTCATTAAGCTTGTAAAAGTCTACCTTCTACTTTCACATTTAGAACATTAATCTCTAATATGGACAGCCATTCTTAAAGACCATGCAAGTATATATTGAATGATCAACCTCTGCAGAAATGTAATCTAGATGAGTAATTAATTTCTATTCCTCTTTTTCTGTTACTGATCATAATAGCATCAATTTCTGCTTTTGACTAAGAGGTGTTCCCAGGTTATTGATTACTGAATACATTACTTGATGACATACAATTTTTTCACCACACAAAAGTGTCATCCTAAATGGCTTGTTGTGTGTTAAAAATCTTAAGAAGCTAAAGAAAAACTGTGTCATCACAGTATCTTGAACTCTGTGTTATTTTCATTACAAAACAATTTTTTCAAATGTAAAAAGGCCCTTGCAGTGACGATTAAGCATGATTCATGCAACCAACTCATCTTCTGTTTCAAAGACATTGTCTTATTTACTTCAATAAGCAGTAAAATCTAGGTGGTTTTGATTGGGTAAATTGTCCTTTAAATGCAAGGCCTCTCAAAATAGTGATGGCAGATATCAGCTCTCACTAGTAAACTAGCAATCAACATGCATTTTGCGTAACAGTGATAGTCCCATGTGAAATTTGTTATTTCTTCTTTCTCCATAAATAGTCTTCATGGTCCAAATAGGAAGAAATCCACAAATAGTTGTGCTACCTACCATTTTCCTTGTTCTCTAAAGGTGTATGAGGCTGTTTTCCCCATATCATATTTACACTGACCTTCTCCTAAAGATGCTCTCAGAGCCTTTTTTCAAAATTCTTTCATAAATTTGGAGAGCGGAGAGCCCTTTCTCTGCCTTGGGCAATTGTTTTTGAAAAGGAGAAATAATAAGGCAGAGGTACTTAGGTCACAAGCCCCATCTAGGAGCATGTGTTTACTAGCATTAATTGGAAAAGAAAGGGAAGGCTTTGGGGGTTTGTTTTTCTTTTTTATTATTATTATTGGAAATGATTTGTCGTCTTGGTCTGTTATCTATTTAAACACAAAGGAAGTTTGGCAGTAGAACAAACAAAGCTTATGAAGTCCATATAAAGCCACAAAGATCAAAATACTCAATTTTTTTCTCTTGCTCCTTCCCTTTGTCCCATATTGAAATGGAAAGAAAAAAAATTGCAATGCCGAATGGTAAAAGCCCTTAAGTGAAAACAAAAAGCCAGACCTGTTCTGCAAGGCATAAACTTTGTTTTCCAGCAGGTGCTTTTCATATTCAGTGTAATTCCAGGGTAGGTGTCAGGGTGGCAATAAAAAAGGACCAAAACAGCAAAGTGGGTAGAAATTGTTTTCCGTACTACAGATTGAAATCCAATCTTTGACTTTTAAAAGTGTCACTTAAATCAAAGGTTATACTAATTATAGTGGAATAAACTATGGGCTTCTAATTTAAGGCACCTGGACTATGGCTTGAAGTCTCAAGTGGAGAAGAAACCATATTCATGCACCCAGATCATATTATTTTCTGTGAATGCTTTAGGTGTCCCACAGCATGTAATGCCAAAATAGGTAAAGAGAAATTTAGAGATCTTTCCTCTAGGAGGTAATTTGTTGTTTTTCTGATCTAAATTAGTTAATTCATGGTAAAAAATCCAGCCAAAAACAGAAAAACTTTGTCAATTTAGGAGGATACGAATCCTAACATTTAGTTTCATTTCCTAATTTACTTTGGAATTACAGATACATTTACTGTTGTTTTGGGGATTTTACTGAAAACTAGCTGATTTCCAGTGATTATACCCTTTCTTCTGTTAGGGAGAGGGTTACTCCTATGCTAGGAAGAATCATAGAATCATAGAATATCCTGAGTTGGAAGGGATCCTTAAGGATCATCAAGTCCAACTCTTGACCCCGCACAGGTCTACCCAAAAGTTCAGACCATGTGACTAAGTGCACAGTCCAATCTCTTCTTAAATTCAGTCAGGCTCGGTGCAGTGACCACTTCCCTGGGGAGCCTGTTCCAGTGTGCAACCACTCTCTCTGTGAAGAACTTCCTCCTGATGTCAAGCCTAAACTTCCCCTGCCTCAGCTTAACCCCGTTCCCGTGGGTCCTGTCGCTGGTGTTAATGGAGAAAAGGTCTCCTGCCTCTCGACACCCCCTTACGAGGAAGTTGTAGACTGCGATGAGGTCTCCCCTCAGCCTCCTCTTCTCCAGGCTGAACAGGCCCAGGGCTTCTCTGTGATTTCCTTCTCTCCTGGAGTATCTGTGCAGACATGCCTTTGTTCTCCGTCTCTTGAGCTCACTCTTAAATATTTGTATACCAAGAACTAACAAATAATGCCTAACTTTTCATTTAAAAGAAGTACCCAGTTTTGGAGCCAGAATGTGCATCAGAACTGCTGCTATTGAAAGGTACTCCTGGCTGTAGGAGGATTACACATAGGCTCAAACTTCCTAAATTAGCAGTGATTGAGGGTTGAGATTTTATTTTGAGAAATATGTGAACTGACCTAGTTGTCTTTTTTCAGATACTGAGAAGGCAGTTGGAAGCATTCACAGCCCCACCTCTACTACCAGAAGATTTTGTTAACACCCAAAAGTAGCAGCCATCAGCTCAGTGGATCTTGTGTGATTAATCACTGAAGTGTTGAATGGGTAAGTGCTTTCTTATAAATCCCTCGCCCCCACTCTCAAGAGACGTTCATATTCCTGCCTTCATTTTCACTTGAATCTGTCATCATTTGGAGACTCTGTGTATGTCCATGGAGCCTCAGGTTCAGGCTCAGATGTTTTTTGTTCGCCTGCAAGACACGTGGCTGCCAGTCAGCAGCAATATTTAGCTTACTCCCAACCGGTACCCTGTGTCCACAGACCTAAGGACGGTGGATTTGTGCAACACATGCATTCCAGAAATATGGTTGAAAGGTCATGGCAATAGGGCAATATTTCATTTATTATGGCTTGGAAGACTGAAAACCTTCAAGATTTGTTTGGAGAACAGGAAAAAAATAATACACAAGGGACAGCAAATGCAAGACAGATCTGGGGGGGGGAGGAAGAGAGGAGGGAGGATTTCTGATGAGTTTATAATCCACGACTGAATTACTGACAAAACTGTTTAGTCCATTTACATCATCCATTATGAAGGCTGAATTTCATCAATTAGACGCAGATGTTCCCTTCCTCAGCAAGTTATAAATTCACAAGCTTTTGACAGAGGCATGCAAAAAATTTGGCACATTTTTAATCTTTGCAAATGATAGGTTGTTTTTTTAAAAAGCAACAGTTGATATATGCCTACCCCAATTAGACCAATTATGAAAAGGGTGGGGATTTATTTTTCCTTTTTTTTTTTTTTTTAATCTGTTCAGAAGATAAGCTCCTGAGTGTGTTGATGAGAGGCACATCAAACTCACGTGGGTTCAGAAGGGACCTCTTCAGAGGAATAAGTTTTTTTGGAAGGCAGCAAGGGTTGCAGTTTTCAAGCATACAAAGGAGTGTGATTGGCAGTGGTTAATGTACTGATACATGAAATACAGTGGCTTACCAGAGGAAATCTTAAAGTGTGGATAGGTGATTACCAGGCAGGAGGGTCTTGCAAGAAGCCACGAATATGGCAGCTTGCCCACAAGAGCTCTTCAGTGATGGGTACCAGCCTCTGCACAAACCACTAGAAGCAGGCAGGGCTCAGTTTTTCAAGCTTCTCTGGCCTGCCTCCAAGAGAGGAATGCTTCAGGCATGAGGTGGTGGTGGGAGCCCAGAGAGAATGTGGGGAGGCTGCTGTTACATGTAGCTGGTAGGAGAAGGTGACACGGCCGTGCAGTTCAGCTTGTAAAGACATATGCCCTGCTGAAGAGGAGACAAAGTGATGCAAGGTCCTGGTTAGGGAAACCCTCAGCCGATTTGTGTTCATAGCTTTCATTGAAGCCCTGAGTGCAGTAGTGATACATTTTCTTCATTCATGTTAATGCTGGTTATGAGGAGCTGCTGTTCACAGCATCCTGGAGGATGCTGTCCTGCCTGCATAGTCCCAAAGACTGTTTATTTTTGAAGTGTTTATCTCAAAGAAGGGGAAAGAGGACGTCCTGTCTTGATGTTTGTTATTTGTGAGCACAATCTCAGATTCTCTGGCTTGAGACCTGTCTAGTGTAGTTTTTCTTTTACAACATACCCAAGAAATATCAAGTTATCTTGGTGCGTACACAGAGTCAGAGTGAAAGCCTCAGCAGACCAAACTGGAGAAATACAGTGGAACCACTAAATTTCTAAGACATCCTCAAGGGCAAGGATGCACACTTGATAGAGATACCCAGTTTCAGGTGTGTGGGGAGAAGATCATAACCCACTTCTCCCTCATTCATGCATTATGCACATCTCAGCTTCTGTGTATTTCTCACATGTATTTCCAGTTTTAGGCATACTTAAAAATGTCACTTTCACTTCTTTTTAGAAATGCCAGAGAAGGAATAATCAACTACATTTCAAGCTGACTGAACTTTTAAGAGCTGCCGCATTTATTAGTGTCTTCAAGAACAGACGTGTATTATCTCCTTATCCAAGTTAAAGGGCTTTTAGGTCTTTGCTTGAAGGCTGTACTAGAAAAAATTAATATTAGAGTAATGAGTGAAGATGAGGATAGAACTTGTTTATGCAGACCTTAGGCCCTTAAAGAAGATCACTCTGAAGTCAAAATGCTTGGTTATGATCCTGTGCTTGTGACCACAAGATTCTTTTATGTTTTGTCCTTTTCTGTAAAGTATACCCACTAAGTAGATGATACATAACTGATTGTGTTTTTTTTGTTTGGTTGGTTGGTTTTTGTTTGCTCGTTTGTTTGTTTTTGGGGGGAGAGTAAAAAGAGAACCTTTCTCCAGGTAGATTTTTTGCTTTTATAAAACAGAGTCCTCTAGCTCCCCCCGCTAAGGCTGCTTAGTAGCCTTATGTTGTCAGCCTACAGCTGACTGTACACCAAACATAGAGATACGCAATTAGATTTTGGACAGAAATGGACACGGTCTTAGAATACAAGACTGTTCAGTCTAGATAACTAAATTTAGCCATCTGAACTCACCATAGTATTGGTGGGGTGAAAATCCAGGAAGCTTTATTTAGGATCCATCACCCCTTCAAAATTAAAAACATACAGTGTGCACACATGTGTGTACATGTGTGTTTCTTTCAAAGAGTTGGCAATGTTTTTAGACTACCTCATCAGTTCTTTCACATTTTATTCTGCCCCAGGGACCTCTTTAAAACACTGGCTCAACCAATCTTTGCAATTGCTCTTAACATGCAGAGCTAGGTATGGTATCTCAGTTACTTGCCCCTCCAAGCACAAGAGGTTCATTCTGAGTTAAAGATCACTTGGATACTTGAACAGAGCCAACCACCCGGAATGAAATAGGAAGTGGCCTGAACTTTCATCCAGAGCAGAAAGAAAATGATTGAACTTAGGGCTTTAAAAAGGAGAAGGAAAAAAAAAAAAAGAAAGAAAAAAAAAAGGGAAAGAGATCATTCCCCACTCCTAGCTTAAGGGCGGGGGAACAAAATATGGACAAGTATTTATTTGCTGACGTGGTTGGAAGGAACTAGCTGCAAAGCTACCAGAAATACAATTCTTGTGGTTCCCAGAGGAAGGACCAAGTTCTCCTCTCACAGTATTTCCAAGTTACAGAAGTCTGAGCTTTTTGGATGCTCATCAAATACAGGATCTAAGGAAAGACTATCCCAAGAGTAAGATCTTAAACTAACAGACTGAAGTTTTATAAGTGACCACATTTACTTCACTAGCTGACTGATCTAGAGATCAAAGATGTTATAAATCTATAAATCTGTTTCCAAGTGGAGGACAAAGTTAATTGGAGGTTTTATAAAATTAGCACTCTACTTAATTTTGTATTTTCAGCTCATCATTAAAGGCTTATTTTCTTTCATTAGAATGAACTAGATACAACAGCAGCACCTCAACTTATTTTTCCACCTGGCAGTACAGGAGTTCCTGGAACTGCCTTGGAATCACCATTTTCCCCTCTGCCAAATTGCCTTTGCTGTTCAAAGCATGAGACAGCAGCAAAAGGAAAATCTCTCATCCTGTATTATGGCAACTCTTCAAGCATCTCTGGATGCTTGGAAATAGCATGCCTAGCAGCAGTAGATCAGGACATGGGATTGACAGAGCATAAAAAAATTGCTGGTAGCTTGCTTGAATATAATGAGAGAGTTGTCCCTGTCTCCTTTTTCCAGTCCTCAACAGTGACTTTTTTTTTCAGAATGATCCCTCAAAGAGTTCTCAATTTGGAGTGTATTCTGTCTGCTGAGGGGTCATCTTCTCTCCCTCCCAGTAGCTGTATCCTGACACCAATCCATACACCAGCACACATAGTCTGTATTCTTGCCTTGTGCCCTGAGGAAATTCACGTAAATGAGCATTGAACAGGCCTCAATTGTAGGACCCCAAATCCAGGCTGAGCATACATTTGCTTTTAATACATTTAATACAGAGCAGTTGCACTCCTGTTTTTAAACAAGGGTCTAATATTTCTTGAAGTGAGTGCAACCTGCTGGATTTAAGCAAAATCAAAACTACATTTTTTAACAGATGCTCTGTTATTTCAGTAGTGGGTAACAGCAGTTCCACCACATGATTGTGATTATGGATGTGACATTTCCACTCTGCAAATCCCATTTCCAGGAAAGAACCCAACTCATCTTATATTACTACTTGGCACATATCAGACTGTTTTACAGGGCCCTGTTTTCATGCCTATCAACAAGTTTTCTACTGTTCTTAATGGCTGACAGGACATTTGAAGATTACCAACATGCAGGTAGGAAGGGGAGGGGACTACGAAGGCCTGTAGCTGCAGGAGACAAGGAAAAGTTTTTTCTAGAAGAGTAGAGGAGGGAAGCAGGAATTAACTGTAGCAATTAGAGCAAAATGCAAAGTCTGAATGAGACTTAGGACATGGAGGCCCAAATGTACCTCAGACTGTAGGCATGCTATTTTCTCTTATTCTTCCCATATGTGACTTTGCTGCAGCTGAGCCCTGAAAATCTGCAAAAGATTGCTTGGAAGGTGCTGCTTTATTTCACAGGAGAACAGACAACCTTCTCCTCAATCTGTGGGGAGGGGAAAAAAAAAAAAAAGGCAAGGATGTTAATGTTTGCATAGCCTTGGAAAGAGGCAACTAGGCTTTGTCAGGATGGAAAGAGAAAGATGGGACTCAGGACATCCTCACCTGCTCCTAGGTCAGAGTGGCCAACTTCTGGTGCCTGCTTGTAGATGCAGCATTTCCTACAGCAGCATGCCAAACCTTTAGGCAGGCCATTGCCACAACAAATCTCTGTGAATCAAAGCAGCTGCAGAAGTGGCAGGAGAAGGTCAGCAATCTCATTAGGGGCAGGAGGCCCAGGCCCGCCAGCCACAGCAAGGTCCCAGCTTCACAGCTGCAGCATATTTTGATACCTGGCCTCCAGCAGATTGCATAACTGTGCCATGAGGTCACCATCCTTCCTACTTGATCCTCTCTGAGAACAGGAGGTGGGGAAAAGGAAAATCAAAAAAAAATCCAACAAAACATGGGCACTCAGGCAACCACCAGACACAGCAACACACTCCAGTTTCTGTGGAGAACAACAGACCTCCTCATTTAACTCCAGAGATGCAAGGCCTTTTTCTGCTTACAAAAAAATGCTTGTTCACAGAGACACAAACAAGGGCTGTTTTCTGAACAATCACCCATGGAACAGTGCAGCTTTCCATAGCATGATCAGCAGTATACGCAGTCTGTGCATATATTGTAACTTGACATTTTGTACTTGCTTTCAGAGCAACCAGAGAAAAGTCAAGTTGATGCTCTCCTTCTTTTGAGAGGTTTTCAGGTGAGAAGCAAAAGCAGTTTATCCTTATTAGGCCGGAGATGCCAGCCTTCACTGGAGTTAGGTACAATGGGCAGAAGTTTCTGCAGACATCTTGAAGACCTCCTATTTAAGGCAATGAATAAAGATCACCCAGCTGTGGTCCTTGCCTCCCTTTAGACACAAAAGGCAGAGACATTTCTTGCAGAGGGAAATTCATGGTCTTAACAGCCCTCTCAAAGAATATCTCCCCTCTCAACTAACGTGGGGACTTTAAAAGACTTACTGGCCAACTCAGTTTTCTAACACTTCCTAGGTGAAACCTGCTAGAATAATTTCAGGATACAGAAAAGATAACAAAAATGATTCTTGATTTTTTTCCCCAACATTAAAAATATGCAGAAGTTTTAGTTCTCCCCTTCCAGTTCTTTAATTAAGATAATTTGGATTCACCTACACGAACTCTTGCAAGTTACGGCTATGTAAGTTTGGCTAAGCGAAGTTCTCTCTCCTTAGCCAGTTCTTTATTTGCTTTAGATTTTTTAAGGCTACCTCTATATAGGTATTTCTACTTCATATATACTTTTACTATAGGTACTTCTGCTACTTGACAATTTCCCAAGTTGAAGTTACTACCACAGGAGCACCCTATTGTTCACTGATAACTCTACTTGCTGTATGCCAGATGGATAAGCATTTATGAAGTAGATAAAGCATTGGTAGGAGTGTGAATTGAAGACAGAAATTCTCTGGAAGGGGCATAGGCCAAGGCATAGAATATTTCTAATTGACTTATTTTTTTAATTTAATCAGTACTCTTACATCTAGGTACTCTTACTAGAAACCAAGTGCTAGGTCTTATTCTTCACTCTGCAGTCCCACATTGCAAAATTCATGTCCTTCTTCTCATCTTAGTCTGAAAGAAGAAAATATCCAGACTGCTTTTCTATGAAATTATTTGAAAAATCTATTTAAAATATGCAAATCTAGTGCTTGGAAAGACCCATTTGACTAGACAGTCTTCCCTTGGGAACTACAACTCTTACATTTGTGAGATAGAACAATGTCAGGTAGAAATCTGTCATTAGTATCTCAGATTTATCATGCTACATTCATGCAACAAATGCAAGTGAGATATGTCATTATGAGGGCAGTCTGATAATTGTTTTCTTGCTCTCATCCCAACATTAGTTTTTATGGTTAAGGAAGCAAATGATATGTAAGATAACATCCACTAGGGAGTGCTAGAATTCACATCAACGACCAGCTTTTCCATGCAGACTTTTGAGGCTATTCCTTGAGTGGAAGCTGTAATTCTTGTGACTGGATACTCAACAGACATACAGAGATCTTCCAATAGAAATGCAAGATACCATATCACGTAAGATCCTATAACCATACAAAGCTGCCATTCTTGTTCTTGGTTTTGTTTTTGTTTTCCTTCAGAAAATACTCTTATTCAAATATCCAATAAATAAATAAGTAAGCTTTAGAATGAGAAATAAAATCATCATTTAGAGTGCTTCCTCAGGCAAATAATCATGAATATGATGAGGAGCATCGTAAATAAAAGTAAGGCTGTGTAATAAAGAGTTCAAGATGCTATGGCCGTTTGCTTCAGGGCTTTAATAGGTCAGCATAGGTCTTTTTTCTTATAAAGCAGGTTCTCATTAACAAGGTGTACACAACACACCATAGATAAAATTAACAGTAAACGATAGAGTTGGTGGGAACTGACAGGGTGATGAAGGAGTTTCCAGAAGATCAATCTGGTTTTCATTTTCTATAAACTGAACAGGCCAAAGCAGCTCAAATTAAAGAGTAGAAAACACAGTCAGATTATGTCTGAAGTGCTTGGTAACCAGATGAAACCTATAACAAAACAAAAGCTATAGCACTGCAGTAAAAGTTTGCTTGCAGAGTTCAATATAAGAGTCCATTCAACAAGCTATGTATGAGTTCATAGGAATCTGTGGAACTAGTGTTCCAAAATTAACTTTAAATATATAAACCTCCCAAATACTTGAGGGAGATTTAAATAATGAAATCCATATGCAGCTTAGGTGCTCAAATATGCTTTGTTTTGTTTTGAGAGTACCAAAAACTGGAGAATGAGGAACTGGAAAACAATCACAAGCAAATTTTGCTGGCCACTTCCCAGCAAACAAATTTTGATCTTTAAAAGCAAACAAAAAAAAACCCACACACATACATGTAAACTTGCTTTGAAAAAAAAAAAAAAGAAGCTGCTTGTGCTTGGATTTCTAGCTGCATGACCCTATTGTTTCATCCAGACACTTCAGATGTTCCACATGATGGAAGCCTATTGTACAAACATATGGAGAAGGAAACATTCCACATGTGAAAGCTAAAACCTGCTAATATCGCCAATATCATGCTGAAAATCTTTAGGAACTGGTTTAATGTTTCACTAAATGTCACTAGTAGGTGAGAGGGCTTATGCAGAAGACATGGATAGTGATCCTTAATAAGCAAACAGATAAAAACCTCCTTCCTTTCATGCAAAAACTTGGAGTAAAAAAATATTTGTAGCTAAGTTTTTAAGCATGCATTTGCTACAGCTGAGGCTGGCCGTTCAGAAGTCTGTTATGGTCTGAACACGCGCACACACACACTTGGCTTTGGATGGTATACAAACAGCAGCACCTTTCTTCACCTCACTGTTTCAGGATTCATCTCCCCTTGTATGCTCTGAATAGGGAAATTTCCAAGACTCCTCCTTTGCCAGGATTTCAGAGAGCAGGATGCTTGTAAATTTTACTTTACTGCCTACGCATAAGGAGAGACCATGAGGGCACAGCAGGGAGGGTGTGGGAGAACACAGAAAAAAGTACAACAGATACTGCAGCCAGAGGAAAACCTAAGCACTGGGTTTGTTGTTATAGGGTCTCAACCAGTGAGCAGTTTATTTTTCCAAATAAATCTGCTTTGCAGACATCCTTTCTTCTTCCCCATTCAAGTTTCAACCAGGAAGCCTGGAATAAGTTACTGTTGATTTTAGAGGCAAATCAAAGTGTTCAGCCTACTAAGCTCACATTTAAAGTTAGTCTTGATGAGAAACTCCTTGGGGCCCTTGTATTCAAATAGCGAAGTCTGAGATTCACCTGAACTGCCCACCCATGCAGATCTATAATACAGGGAGGAAGATAAGCGGATGGGCAGTCTGGGCTTCAGGCCTCGGGTCTAACAGTATAGGCTCCATATTTTAAGTTAAATGCAGAAGAAAAAAAACAGTCCTTTAATAAAATCCTAGTCACTCAAAACAGGAGAATACTTACTAACCAAGACCAGGAGAGGACTAGATTTAGGCAGAATAAGTGGATTGGGTCTCTAGCAGGCACACCCGCTTTGGAAAGGCTGCACAATCGTCTCTCTGGGATTTGGATTAGGTTGGGATTTCAGAGGCATTTCATCCCAGATCTCCTGTATTCATGAATCTTTTCTTACTGACATCCTTGGTACCTGGCCCTTCTTAATAGTCCTGCTATTACTTAACACAATAATGAAACACGATCATTATGGAATAGATCAGTAACAGATCAGTGATCCAAAAGTCCCTCCTCAGACCTGACAGTAGTTCTGAATGGAGGCTTGCACCAGCCCATTTTGTTGAGGTGGTTTGATGTTGCAACCTGGCTGCTAATATAAAGAAATTAGAAGAATAGAATAGTGGATGAAAATGAGATAGCACAGCAGGTTATGGCTTGTATGTGGCAAATTTGCTTTTGTTTTGCCACTTTGAACACCACCCACCCCTGCTTTATACTGAAGTGTAATGGTGCTGCCTGTACTCCCCCAGGACCAAGGATTTCATCTAATTTAATAGTTTCTGTAATTAGATATTTGTGAAACTCTGAAATCCTCTGATGAAAGGTGCTGTAAAAATATTACCAACTCTTCTACCATTAAAGGACTCCACCCAAACCCAAATACAGATGTTGTCCTCAATGTACATCATTACTAATCCAAATCAGCAGTACTTATGGCCTGATTTAAATCCTCCCGAAGTCCAAGATGACTTCTGTGGCTTTCAGTAGGGCCCCAAGAATTCTAGAAAGGAAATAAAGGCAAATCAGCCTTTTCTCCTCTCAAAATTGGGACCTCTTTTTCCTGATCAGAAGCAAGGCTATCTGAAGTGAAGCATAAGGCCATTTTCTGCTGAGGGCTTTTTAAGAGGAATGATACCATTCTTACATTGAGTCCAAGGACTAAGGCTGCCAGCAAGGCTCTTCTCAACTGCTGTACAATCATTCTCCATATTAATGCAAGATCCTGTCCCGACTCCACTGTCTTCCTGCCATGGATTTGTAGAAGTAGAAGAGGATTATTTTTTACATTTAGCAATTCTCATACTCAAGGAAGGGCCTAAAGTATCTTAAAACTTGGCTGGTGTTGTCTTCTATATCTAACCATCAAGCTGGATATTGATAATTTAATATTGATAGACCTGAGATGTCTGTGCATAGACTGACCTTGTAGGAATAATAATAGCGT